TGTGCTGTACTTCACATTCATAAGATATATATACCTAAGAAGTTTCAAAATGAGATCATCTCCCTTATACTTTTTCATAGTTATGGGTAATAAATAAAAAAAATGTGATTTACAGAGATATAATTCATGGGCATTGCATTCGTCCTCACTGAGATATATTCATATAGTATGAAGTTTTGAATTATACTTTTATAATTATACCCCGAACAAATATTAAGCCCGAAAAAAAAATTCGTAAAAATATCAAAGGGCAATAACATCAATACATCATTATTTCGCACCGCACTTCTTATTCAGGTCTATCAACATATGAAGTCTCAAATTGATAACAGTTATAGCAAGGACCCTTAACTTGACAAATAACGAGAGTCGTCCTGAAGACAGTGCGCTCGATTATTCTCAGTGCTTGATAGAAAGATACGGGGCATAAATCCGTTTTCATTTACATGTGTATTTGTTTCATCCTGGCATAAATGAAGCAGTAAAGCACTCAATAATTGCTTGCTGTATGCTATAATGATTTGATTAATATACTACATCTAGACACACGATGGTCTAGAGGTTACAGTTTAGTTACACTTTTCATACCATTACCTTCATTTTTACTATCAATAAGGATACAGATAACAGGTATGGGTATGCATGAACTGCCATAGGTGTGACAATATTTAATGAATTTTTGTTCCAAATTTTTAATTCAGATACTTACATCTGTAAGCTCTTTATTGATTAAGGTTGGTGACGATGATAAAATATCTGCCAACAGTCCCCCCGTTGATGTAATTTAAGCTGCTCACTTCAAAATCAGTTAGTTTATCTTGCTCAGCAATATTTTTCAGCTTGCATGGTTACATTTCTTTAAAGACCCTTGAAAAGCTTTTCAAAAAAATTTTTGGGTTGTGGTGTATTTTTAATTTGGAAAATCTATCTTTTAAAAACTTTAAAAGAATATTTAACCCTTTGGGTCATGACTTTTAAAAACCATCTATATATGAAATAAAAATAAAATTTTTGGGGCTCAGTTTGAATGAAACAAAAATTTTTCCCCTTGGTGTCTACGCGCGAATAATTTCAGGTTTGTTGACATTTTTTAATTTGGGAAAGGGATATTCATTAAATTTAAATTTATATTTTTTAATAATCTACGTTTAGTTCTAACAAAATATATATATGTAAGTTAACAAACAGCACTGTAATTGTTGATTTACAATGACATTTAAAATTACTGGTTTTGTATTTACCTTATCCAACACTTTGTTAACTGATTCACGTATGCATATGTACTGGGGAAACTTCCAGTTTCCATCAACTCCACACTGTCGATTAACAGTACCTAAAACATTTGATATGTGATAAATATATGTGGCACTTATATACTAATACATATATAAATAAAACAATCATCATATTAAAACGACATTGTATTTACATTATTTTGACGTGTCCAATGACATTGTTTTACGATATTTTGTCCAGCTTTACTAGAAGGAAAGATTCATGTATTTTTTAATTTTCAGTGAGCATTTTGTAAGCTTTATGAAACCTTAAAGAACACTTTAAACGACCAAATTCAAGACATTTAGGTTTGTTTACACTGATCAAGTTCCTATGCGGTAATGGCTATTGTAAGCTAGTGTTCACGTCCCTAAACACCGGGGCTTAAGCAGAATTAACATTAAATTTTGAACATGACGTTGGTGACATTTGATTTGAATTTTCAACACATCCGCAGATGTGTGCATTTGTTTTGTTGCTTTTTGTTGTTGTTCTTTTGTGGAAATTTCTTTCGTTCGTGCCATGTCATGGAAAGCGGAATAGTTCGGTGTTCCTAGTTAACAATCGTGATTTTTTTTGTTTTGTATGTACCCGCGATGCACGATGGTACGATAGTGAAAATGCGATGGTACGATGCTACTATTGTGAAAACACGATCGTACGATGGTGAAATCGCGATGGCACAATAATAAGATGGTGAAAATATCAATTATATCGCATTTTCACCAACGTGCCATCGCGATTCACAATTGCACCATCGCGTTTCCCCATCCCGCCATCCCGTTTTCACCATCGTGCCATCGCGTTTTCACCATCGTATCATCGCGTTTTCACCATCGTGCCATCGCATTTTCACCATCGTGACATCGCGTTTTCACCATCGTGCTATCGCGTTTTCACCATCGCGCCATCACGCTTTCACCATCGTACCATCGTGATTTCACCATCGTTCCATCGCGTTTTCACCATCGTACCATAGCCTTCTGGTTGACATGCACAAAAGTACATTTTTATCAAATGTATGCCTTCTCATTATTTAACACGCACCCTTTTTATTTGCGTATATTTGAGATCTAAGTATTTAAAACATGAAAGATAACAAAAGGCAATCGCTCCAAAATTAAACAAGAACCGGTTGAACCGGGTGATGCTCCCCGAGAAGGTTTTGGACACAGGAAAGTATAAAAAAAGAACAAAGGGAAACTAGGCAAGGTAGAGTTTTTTTGTTGCTGTTTTTTTTTGCACCACACTTCTATTCAATGGGATCTACCTACCTGCCTGCCTGCCTGCCTGCCTATCTATCTATAAAGTTTCGTGATGATCTTATAGTTTCAGAGTTATGTCCCGGGTAAAATGTGTAAAAATTAGCAATGGGCAATAACTCCAAAATTAGACATGACTGTGTTTAGGTTCTTTAGCATTGCAGTTCTATCCAATGAGATCTATCAACATATAAAGTTTCATATTAATACCTCTAATAGATTTAGATTTATGTCCCGGACAAAAGCCAAAAAGTAAAAATAAACAAAGGGCAATAACTTCAAAATAAGGCAAGGCAGAGTTATGGTTCTTAAGCACCAAGTTTCATGTTGATATTTTTTATATATTGAGAGTAATGTCAAATTTCAAAGTGTCAAAATGAAAAAAGGGCAATAACTCGAAAATTAGGCAAGACAGAGTTATGGTTCTTTAACCATGACCTTTTTCTCAATAGGACCGATATACCTACAAAGTTTCATATTGATATCTCTCATACGTTTAGTGTTATGTCCCGGACAAAGTTCAAAGTTTAACAATAAATAAAATGCAATAATCCAAAAATTAGGCATGGCAGAGTTACGGTTCCTGTGCATTGCAAAACTTACTAAATGAGATATATCTATTTGCAAAGTTTCATATTGATAACTCTAGTTTTAGAGTTAAGTCCCGGACAAAGTTCAAAGTGTAAAAATAAACAAAGGGCAATAATTCAAGTATAAGGCAAGGCAGAGTAACGGTTCTTGTGCACTGCATACCTACTCCATAAGATATATCTACCTACAAAGTTTCATGTTGATACCTCTTATAGTTTTAGAGTTATGTCCCGGACAAATTTCAAAGTGTAAAAATAAACAAAGGGCAATAATTCAAGTATTAGTCAAAGCAGAGTTACGGTTCTTGTGCACTGATCACCTATCCATTAAGATATATCTACCTACAAGGTGTCATGTTGATATCTCTTATAGTATTATAGTTATGTCCCGGACAAAGTTCAAAGTGTAAAAATAAATAAGGGGCAATAATTCAAAAATTAGGCAAGGCAGAGTTACGGTTCTTGTGCACTGCAACCTACTTAATGAGATCTATCTACCTACAAAGTTTCATGTTGATACCTCTTGTTGTTTCAAAGTTATGCCCCGGACAAAAGGCGGACGGACGGACAAAGTGGCAACTATATGCTCACCCTTCGGGGAGCATACTAAAAAGAAAGTTGTCATCCTTGTGCACTGTACATTTAAAGTTTCAAGTTGATATACAGCAAAACATGGAAACATATATTTAGCCTATATGAACACTTTAAAATAGTCTTTGAGCTTTATACAGGATAATGACTTAAATGGAAAATTTTATGTTAAGGTTTTATCATTTATAACTCTAATTAATAAGTAAGTATTCTAAACTTGTTTTTAGTATCTCCCGTATAAGAATCTGACATCTTTCTGTATTTGCACTGGTCATACTGACCGAAAGGCCATGGTACGATGGCGCGATGGCAGGTTGGTGAGAACACGATGGCACGATGATCAAAACGCAATGGAACGATGGTGCAAACGCAATGGTACGATGGTGAAAACACGATGGCACGACGGTGATAACGCAATGGTACGATGGTGGGTGAAACGCGATGGCACGATGATGATAGCGCGATGGCACGATGGTGAAAATGCAATGCGACGATGGTGAATACACATTTTTACCATCGCGACATCATGATTTCACCATTGTACCATCGTGTGTTCACCATCATACCATTGTGTTTGTATTTATATCATCGTTCGTCGTACCATCGCGTTTTCACCATCGTACCATCGTGCTACGCGGATAAGGACGAAATAAAAAATCACTATTGTCCAAACGGAACACCGTATGATAGAGCACTTTAGTAGAATGTCCGAAACGAGAAAATTAATAGAATAAAATTGATGTAACAGAAATCTGAAAGAGGTTATGAAGTCTGCCTATCACGATCAAGGCGACATAAGACAAATCTAAAACACACAAAAATACATAACTTATCCTACCAGTAAAATTAGTTGGACACGGGTTGCTTCTTTTCCCCTTTCCCCCTTCGATTGCATTCCCAAAAGGTTCCTCCCTTTTTTTTGGTAAATTTTTCCGGGCCCCTTTTGCACCCCGGGTTAAAAAAAAAATTTAAATTTTTGAAAATATGAATCAATTTAAAATTGAAAAAGAAAAACACATGCAATTTTTTAAGAATTTTTTTTGTTTTTTATAAAGGGTTTTTAACTATAATTTTTTTAGGGTCCCATAATAAGTTCAGGGCCCCCCAAAATTGTATATAAATCTTGAACTCGTGTTTAAAAAACTTAAATTTTAATTTTAGTTTACATATCAAATTAAATTCTATTTTGTTTACTTTAAATAAAATTTGTTTCCTTTTTTTGCAAACAATCAGGCCTTTTTTAAATCCCCTTTTCCGTTTGCATTTACATATTCCCAGTTAATCACCAAAAATAAACAAGCCTTATTTGGCATGAATATGTGGCAGTTGAACCATATGTTGTACCATTAGAAGTATTGATAGTACCATTCATTAGATCATCTGGTCCGCCACAATCTGATTTAAATAAATAAGTGTCTTGACCAATTTCATAGAAACATTCATTTAAAACCTTTACATTATGGTAGAAATTTTAAAAAAGTCGACACTTAGCTTAATACATATTATAAATTAGGTGTTGCAAATTATGTTTTCAAGAAAAGGGGATTATGAGTGTTTTCTTTGTTTCGTACTTCAAAATGTATGGTAGATTTATTCACTATGTATTGATACAAACACAAACCTATTATTGAACAGATGGTCGTATCCCAAGTCCCATTTTCACGACATTGTATGGTAGTTATACTTGCAGTATAACCTGTGTTACAGTCAATACGAGCTATTGCACCAAAAGAATGATTTCCTTCTTCTTGTAAAGTTATGTCCCCGTTTTCTATCGTCGGTGATGGTTCACAAACTAATATCATAATGTAACAAAAATAAATTCAAATAAATTCTTGTTCACTGTTCAAATCAAATAGATAGAATTTTTTCTTCTTTTTTTAAATAACGTTGGAATATATAATAGATTAATCTAGAGGAAGGTTAAATTACAATATTTTTCAAAAAAGCTCGGTTCAATATTAAAATAGTACGAAACCTTCACTACATTTAAACAGGTAAAAAATAAACAGTAAATTGTAAATGTTATTACCAATTAAATCGCATGTAGCAGTATCCCAGATCCCGGTATCACGACACTGTATGGTTGGCACAGAAAAATTATAACCAGTCTCACAGGTTATTTCCGCTAATGCTCCATATGTAGTATTTTCTTCTTCGAGCAAAGCTACGTTTCCATTAGACACTTTAGGGGCTACACTACAATCTAAATTATTATTAAATTTTAAGACAATTATATGTACCAAAACATTTTCTTTTAAAACCTACCTCGTAGTTATTCTTTTTTATTATTACAACAAACAAAAACAACACAGCTTCTTTCAAAATTCAAAATATTTTCTTTTCCAAAGAAAAATGTTTGTCTTGAACTTTTCTAAATTACAAAATAAGATATGATCCAAAACAAACCTATTAAAGTACATGTTGCATCATTCCATTCTCCTGTATCTAGACACAGTATAGTGTCTACTGTCGCGTTATATCCTGTTGAACATGATACATTCGCTATCGCGCCATACGTGGTATTTCCAGCTTGTGTAAGAGTAACTTGTCCATTAGCGATGACCGGAACAGCCTCACAATCTTAAAATAAATATCATGCATGCTCTACCTTTCCTTATTGTAAACTGATGTGTGACAACAGGAATGAGTTCAAAGTGATAGACAAAATATTTCGTGAATATGCTGAAATCTAAAATATTTGAATACCAACCCAGCGCTTACCATGCGACATGTTATAAACAATTCATCAGCACTTGCGCGAATTATTTAGAATGTTAACTCAAAATTCAATTTAACCCTCAAACCAAAGTGTTAGTCTTTGGCAACTCAGAGTAAATCTTATTATTTATGTAACTCAGTTTTACCCAACACATGTCGTGGTCGAATGATGGTAAATCCTTTTATAAAGTCGATCGGTGAAAAAACGTGTATATAGATAAAGTTTCCAAATGGGACGCGAAATAAGATCCAATTTTTGACACTTGAAATCCAAGGCTGTCCATACATACATACATACATACATACATACATACATACATACATACATACATACACACAATGTACATAAATATATCTGAATAATTGCTTTCACAAACAAATAAAAATTCGAAATATCAGAGGCATGAGAGCATCTATCCGTTTCATCAAAATTAATAGGTATTTACCCAATAGTTCACATTGTGGGGTTTCCCATTTTCCAGTCTCTAGACACTTTATTGTTCCGGAGGTTGAATTGTAGCCTTTATTGCACGTGACCTCTGCCAATTGTCCATACGTCGTATTTTCAGCTTCAATTAATGCGACGACCCCATTTAAAACCATTGGAACAGATTCACAATCTGTATTAAAACAATGATTAAATCATTTTATTTTTCATACAAATAGTAAAAAGAAAAAGCTTTATACATCATACTTCATTACTATGCAATAAAATATAAGAAAGGACACCCTATTTGTCAGTATGCACTTCATTAATTTTGGGAGTATATAATCGTCGTCATTTTATGCTCCGTAAGTATTCCTATATCTTATTCTAAAACTCCAAGGTCACTATAATCAATAACGTATCACGATAGTGATACAAAATGATAATATAATGAGTGAAAATTTACCAAGTAGCTGACATTCAGTTGTTTGCCATTGTCCCGTTTCTAGACATTGTATTATACCTATGCTTGCATTGTAACCTGTATCACAGCTTACATTTGCAAGTGCGCTATGCGTTGTGTTATTTTCTTCTAATAATGTAACAGATCCCTTTATAACAGTAGGCACATCTCCACAATCTTAAATTATAACATTTATAAGAACAAGAAGAAAACATATTTTGGATAAAATTTCGACACACAGTTTTACATAAATTATAACTTGTACATTATATTACAAGTTGTGTTAGCAAATTTGCCAGTTTTACGACATTGCATGATTACCAACGTCGCATTTGAGCCAAATGTTCACAAATAAGATTTGCTTCAGCGCCGTATATGCTTGTCACATTCCCTTTAACATTCTACTGTTAGGGGTTTTATAGAATTAGTTCCTATATTTCAATACGTCAAAAAAGTATATTTTAAGTAATAAATGATATTATGATTCTCTGTCAGTCGAGTGTTTCATTTAAAAGTCTATTTCGCATGAAACTAAAATGTTTTATATAAAAAGAGAGTAAGAAAGAACCGTAGCTTTGCATATCTTATAATTCAGCATTATAGTTTATCCCCGATTGTCCCAGTGTCACGCACACATTTATGGTTTCGTAAGTCGCGTTATGGCCAATGTTGCACGTCACTTCAGCTAAAGCACCGAATGAGCTATTGCCGTCCTCTTTCAAAACAATGCTTCCATTATCAATTGGTGGAAGTATTCCACAATCTGCAGAAAAGTTGATGAATATAAAACTTTGATTACTTTATTTTATATGCTTCTTGAAAATTGAAATAAAACACTCTTTATTATCGGAAAATGAGAAATGGATAGTTCTAAAAGTTGAACGTGCATATCTATAATGGAGTAGTATGTGAGTCCTATAAATTAGAAGATATGTCGCAAAAACTTTCAATCAGAGATATTGTCAAGATATTGATTCAAATGATTCAAAACAATGGAGGACTACATGCTGCATTAATACATGTTAATAAACTAAAACATGAATTTTAATGACAACGGCATCAAGGGAATCAACTCAAGCTTCCAAAATTATTTCAAGTTATCAACATTAAAAACATTACATACCAATTAAATAACATCCAACGGCATCCCATTCCCCTGTATCGCGACATTCGATTATATCAAGAGTCTCGTTGAAGCCATGTTCACAAACTACATCCGCAATAGCTCCGTATGTGGTATTTCCTACTTCTTTTAGGTCAATGGTTCCATTAGATATCGTTGGGACATCTCCACAGTCTGCAAATTTATGAAATAAGCATGATAATTACTGTAACCCAACTAATATTAGCAACAATATACTATTCGCTTTATTTGATGACGGCAATAAAACGCAAATATAAAATTGCAGGATTATGTCTACAAGATTTCGTCAAAAAAACTGTAAAAAGAAATTATTGTTTACATATCTTGTCTAGACTCTGTTGATAATGACTTACACAAGCGAATATTAGAATTTCATGGGGACATGTTAGAGCACAACAGAAATGTAAAATACATTGTCGTAAAAAATTAAAAACTCAATTTATTAAAGATCCTGTCACACAATTTTTTATGGTTTTATTTCATAAATATGATGTTCAAATTAAGATTTGTCAATATTGTTAGTTCTAATAAGCATTATTTATAAAGGTATTACCCAATTTAACATTTCATGTAAATAAAGGGAGGTAATTAGAAATTCATTTTCTATAAATCTCAAGTTAAATTTTCCAATAAGAAATGAATGTACGTAATTCATTGATTAAATATAATGTGCACAATATTTGCAGTGCACATTTTACATATTATTCGATGTTTGAAAATCGTTTTAATTGCATAACTATATACATATATATTATTTTTCAAGTGTGGTATACACATAATAACAATATCAATCACAAAACATACAGGATCTTTAATAAATAGGTTTTTATTTTCATCCAAGGCAGTGTCATATTCAGAATTTAACATAAGTGCACATTATAGTCTAAGTGTCAATCACGGACGTACCGGTATACATTACGGAACATGAATTTGATATTTTTAAATATCTTAACGTTTTTACATAAATAAATATATATTAATTGTTGACTTAAATTACATATTTACATCACACTATTACTAAATGTTCCGTAGAGTTATGTTATCATTTTTACACCAGTACATTATTTCAAATGCCAAGTTTTAAGAAATATTTTATAAAACAATGTTTCAAATCGTTCTATAAGAACATAAATTAAAATAATAACTCCGCATCAGTCGTCTATTCGATTTGCTTCAGCGCCGTAAGTGCTTGTCACATTCCCTTTAACATTCTACTGTTAGGGGTTTTATAGAATTAGTTCCTATATAACAATATGTCAAAAAGTATATTTTAAGTAATAAATGATATTATGATTCTCTGTCAGTCGAGTGTTTCATTTAAAAATCTATTTCGCATGAAACTAAAAATGTTTTATATAAAAAGAGAGAAGAAAAGAACACGTAAGCTTCATACTTATAATTTCACATGAAGTATTATCCCATTTCCCAGTGTCACGACACATTATGGTTTCTAAAGTCGCGTTATGGCCAATGTTGCACGTCACTTCAGCTAAAGCACCGAATGAGCTATTGCCGTCCTCTTTCAAAGCAATGCTTCCATTATCAATTGGTGGAAGTATTCCACAATCTGCAGGAAAGTAGATGAATATAAAACTTTGATTACGTTATTTTATATTCCTCTTGAGTATTGAAATAAAATACGCTTTATTATCGGAAAATAAAAATTGGATAGTTCTAAAAGTTGAACGTGCATATCTATTAAGGTACAAGTATATGTTCCTATAAATAAAAGATATGTCGCAAAGCCTTCAATCAGAGATATTGTCAAGATATTAATTCAAAACAATGGAGGACTACATGTTGCGTAAATACATGTTAATAAACTAAAACATGAATTTTTATGACAATGGCATCAAGGGAATCAATTCAAGCTTTCAAAATATTTCAAGTGATCAACATTCAAAACATTACATACCAATTAAATAACATCTTACGACATCCCATTCCCCTGTATCGCGACATTCGATTATATCAAGAGTCTCGTTGAAGCCATGTTCACATACTACCTCCGCAATAGCTCCGTATGTGGTATTTCCTACTTCTTTTAGGTCAATGGTTCCATTAGATATCGTTGGGACATCTCCGCAGTCTGCAAATTTATGAAATAACCATGATAATTACTGTTATCCAACTAATATTAGCGACAATATACTATTCGCTTTATTTGATGACGGCAATAAAACGCAAATATAAAATTGCAGGATTATGTCTACAAGATTTCGTCAAAAAAACTGTAAAAAAGAAATTATTGTTTACATATCTTGTCTAGACTCTGTTGATAATGATTTACACGAGCGAATATTAGAATTTCATGGGGACATGTTAGAGCACAACAGAAATGTAAAATACATTGTCGTAAAAAATTAAAAAACTCAATTTAGACCTGTAACACAATTTTTTATGGTTTTATTTCATAAATATGATGCTCAAATTAACATTTGTCAACATTGTTAGTTCTATTAAGCATTGTTTATAAAGATATTACCAAATTTAACATTTCATGTAAATAAAGGAAGGTAATCAGAAATTTATTTTCTATAAATTTTAAGTTAATTTTCAAATAAGAAATGAATGTATGTAATTTATTTATTAAATATAATGTGCACAATATTTGCAGTACACATTTTACATATTTTTAGATGTTTAAAAATCGTTTTATTTGCATAACTATATACATATATATTATTTTGCAAGTGTGGTATACACATAATAACAATATCAATCACAAAACATACAGGATCTTTAATAAATAGGTTTCTATTTTCATCGAAGGCAGTGTCATAATCAGAATTTAACATACGGGGACATTATAGTGTCAATCACGGACGTACCGGTATACATTACGGAACATGAATTAGATTTGTTTTAATATCTTAACGTTTTTACATAAATAAATATATATTAATTGTTGACTTAAATTACATATTTACATCACACTATTACTAAATGTTCCGTAGAGTTATGTTATCATTTTTACACCAGTACATTATTTCAAATGCCAAGTTTTAAGAAATATTTTATAAAACAATGTTTCAAATCGTTCTATAAGAACATAAATTAAAATAATAACTCCGCATCAGTCGTCTATTCGAAGTTGCCTACTAAAATTACAATTCAACATCGGTCGGATATTTCTCTTTAAATTATATTTTTCGTTTGAAATAATAAATATTTAAATTAAAAAGAAAGAAATAAGGAAAGAACACGTAAGCTTCATACTTATAATTTCACATGAAGTATTATCCCATTTCCCAGTATCACGACACATTATGGTTTCTAAAGTCGCGTTATGGCCAATGTAGCACGTCACTTCAGCTATGGCACCGAATGAGCTATTTCCGTCCTCTTTCAAAGCAATGCTTCCATTATCAATTGATGGAAGTATTCCACAATCTGCAGGAAAGTAGATGAATATAAAACTTTGATTACTTCATTTCATATTCGTCTTTAATATTTAAAAAATGCGTTTTTATTCTCAGAAAAACAAGAAAAGGGAAGTTCTTAAATTTGTGTGCACAGGGCATATCTATTAAGGTACCAGTATGTTCGTACAATGGATAAAAAATATGTGGCAAAACTCTGAATAAGATATTTTCAATATATTTTTATTTGTTAATTCAAAACAATGATAGAAGACATCATGTCGTGTGAATACATGTGGAACATGCAAATATATAATTATTACGACAACGACATAAAGGGAGACAACTCAAGCTTTCATAAAAATTTCACAAGTTTAGTATAACGTATAACTAGTGATTAACATTGAAATCATTATATACCAATTAAATAACATTCAACGGCATCCCATTCCCCTGTATTGCGACATTCGATTATATCTAGAGTTTCGTTATAGCCATTTTCACATACTACTTCCGCCAAAGCTCCGTATGTGGTATTTTCTTCTTCTTTTAGGTAAATGGTTCCATTAGATATCGTTGGGACATCTCGACAGTCTGCATATATATGAAATCACCATAATAACTTCTGTAAACAATAGCATGCTTATCTTCAAGCTTTATATTTCCCGAATAAGACATTTTTTCTACATTTTGTTAAAATCTTAACATTTTAATTGTCTAGAAATCATTTACAGCATATTTTGCACTAAAACAATTAAATGTGAATTTCGTTCTGCTTTAAACATTCGAAAATAAAATAAATTAAAGGTAAATTAAGACCCAATAAATTTAGACAAGATGTTTATTATGTATGTATAAACCTATTAAGTAACAAGCAGGAACATCCCATTCTCCGGTGTCGTGACATTCTATAATGTTTATGGTTTTATTATAGCCTGTGTTACATGTAACTTCAGCTAAGGCGCCGTATGTAGTATTGCCTTCATCTATAAGTGTTATGTCTCCATTCGATATTACTGACACGTTTCCACAGCCTACAAAATCATTTTTGATGTAATACATTGATTTTATTTAGGCTTGGATTTCTTTCAAAAACATGTTTTACATTTAGATACAATTAAAATGTTAATGTAAACTTCAGTTTGTTTCATTCTGTTCGTATATAATATTTTCGTATTATAACAAAGCTTAACGTTTCAGTAATTCGTGTCCATACTTTTCGTATCGTGTTTTCATAATAAGAAACATTCTGAAAAAGTGAGATATCTAGTCTCGAGTAACTTATTTCATATAAGAAAAAGACATGTAAGCAGTATAGTGTTATTTTACACCTAACATAGGAACAATGATAAAAATTGTTTAAGAGCGTTCAGAAGATTAGCAACAAAATTATTTACTTATTAAATCGCATGAAGCAGTATCCCAGACCCCGGTTTCACGGCACTGTATGGAATCCAAAGACGAGTTATAGCCAGTCTCACAGGTTATGTCCGCTAAAGCACCATATGTTGTGTTTACTACATCTAATAAAGCCACGTTTCCGTTGACAACCTCAGGAACGGTACCGCAATCTATTTTACATATTGCATGAAAAATCTCAATCATTAAATTATATTGCTACATTAACACACCTAAAAAGTATAAAATTACTGATTGTGAACATCTGAAACAAATTATGAAACATTTCAGTCATACCTCGTACTTAACATAGTTCATGTACGAGAATTATGCAAAAATTGTAATTATATTAAAACAAACATAACAAATAGACATTTCTAGCTTTGATGTCTCGTATAAATGAAACAAGCAAGATTTGAACTAGAGGTAGACTAGATGGTATGTTTTCTTGTTGCAGTATTTTACATGAGTTTTGTTAAAAATATGTACAAAGTTTATAAACCTTATAAAGTTAAACCTGATAGCATTTTACGAAAGCAAATGCATTTTCCTTTCAATTTCTGTCCTGCTCTTAAGATCAAAACTATAAAAAGAAATTTTCAAAAACTGTGTATTTAGGAATCTCAAATGGTTTGATATTATCAAAGAATTGATTTACCTATTAAATAACATGTTGCATTATCCCATTCTCCTGTATCTAGACACAGTATAGTGTCTACTGTGGCATTATATCCTATTGAACATGATACATTCGCTATCGCGCCATACGTGGTATTTCCATCTTGTGTACGAGTAATTTGTCCATTAGCGATGATTGGAACAGCCTCACAATCTTAAAATATACCTCAAAATGAATTGCATTTTAAACATGGTCTGACAATTGTGTTCATTTCATGTTTATTTTTTTACATATATAATAAAATATGCATGATATTTTAGTTTAAAAAATTGTATTACTAAGACAAGTATTTCAAATATAATAATTTCTTCAGCCATTATTTTTAAATGATTAAAAGTTACCTAATATTTCACACTGTGGAGTTTCCCATTTTCCTGTTTCTAGACAAAGTATTGTTTCGGAGGTTGCATTGTAGCCACTGTTACATATAACCTCGGCTTGTTTACCATATGTAGTATTTTCAGATTCTTGTAATGCCACAATCCCATTTAAAACGTCTGGCACAGCTTCGCAATCTAATCAGTAATGAATATTTGTATGTTTAATCAAATTTATGTGTTGACAACCCATGTGCAAAATTTAAGATTATTCGGAAACTCTGATTTTCAAGAATAATCAATTTCATTTTTTAAGATGACCCAAAAACTAAAATTTGGGATAAGAATCGCCCATACAATCGATTTCAATTCGATACTGGGTATATTATAGTTTGCATGTTTCTCCGTTTTAAGTGCAAAAGTAAAAATCTGTATGAATTTAAAATTATATATTTTTATTATTTATTTTTATTTTGTTTGATACGTAAATGGAAATTCTGTCTGAGCATATGCCGACTTTAAAGTTTAAGTTGTGGAGAAAAATTCAGGTGCCCCTCCGTATTTCATTCAGGCACGAGCGGACCTACATCATTCAAGCAAGGTAGCTGTTTAACGTAACTAAAAATGTGTCCATGGACCAAGGTTGCCCCTATTATCCATTATTTTGTCAATCTACTGACTCTTAGGGGCTACACGTGACACAAGCTGAAAACTGATTTTTTAATAAGACAATCACAAAAAAACTCCACAAATACTGAATAAATCCACAAACAAACCGCAAGGTGCATAACTACATATGCTGACCAACATTCTTTTATACTTTCAGGACCACAGGTCAAATAATTTTTGAGCTATGCATGAACAAGTATATAATTCATTCTAAGTGAAGATCAATAACTCTAATAAAACAGAAAAAATCCTCTTGCAAAATCACAAGGTGCACAGCTTCATAGTGATGTTGATCGTCATTTATTTTTAAAGTCGGTTGATTCCAACTCAAGCACTTAAAGTTCACATAACACTACGTTTTTTTAATGTTTTTACTACGTCAATGGCAATTGACAAATAAATCTACAAGCGAACTCCAAAGTGCATAAGTACACATGCATAAGTACAAATAATATTTGAGCTATGCATAAATAAGTTGAAAATTGCAAATTCATACTAAGACAATGGCAATAACTTTAAAAAGTTCCACATGGTGCATACTCTGACAAACCAGAATAAATTCTCATTTGAAACCTCAGATGCACAACTCCACATGCTTAGCAACCTTTCTGTAAAGTTTCATGACCCTAGGTCAAATACGTTTTGAGGAACGAGTGACACAAGATGAATATTGCAATATTTTTACTAAGTCAAGGTCAATGATTACAAATGCTCAATAAATCCATACGCAAACACCCAGATACACAACTACACATGCTGACCAATATTCCTATTTAATATGATAAACAAGATCAACAAGGAAAGGTGCTGTTAAATAAACGCAACCCTCACACGACGCAGCAACAAGAACCATCGGCAGGGAGCCAAGGAGGACCCCAAACAGAAACAGGACAGGGCACAAGGTAGAGCACGGATAGGCTAATCAATAAAATTCTATGGTTCCAGGTCAAATAGGATTTAGCTACGTGGGACATAAAAGTGAACAGACCTACGGATGGATGGACGGATAGACGGAGGTTCAAACGGGACAGTAATAATGTGCTCCACTTAAAAAGCATTACAGAATGAATGACATCAAAGAGAAAGAACAGTTACCTTTTGTCCCTCTAACCACATAATTAGTGTCCCGTGAGAGAGGACGGACGGATGGACCGACAAGGGTAAATCTAAATGCCACCCCCCCTCCCCCTCACAAAAATAATCAAAAAGCCGAGCAATGACACTTTTTGTTGAATTTTACATTGCACCAGCACCTTTCAGCTTAATTTTGCCGCAAGACTTCAAGTGCTCTTCTCTCATTTAGACATGAAAGGGCACCTGAGTTTAACCTACGACGTTACGAAAGCTAGCTGGTTTCTCTAATAAATGAATCATCCACAGTCCCTGCCACAGCAGTGATAGGCAAGTGGAAGTATGACATATATGTTGAGACCACATTAACTCAGCTAACCATTAAATACATCTAACATTCGGAGTAATTATTGATTTCTTGAATTGTCATTTCTTCATGCTTGTTTGAAATAAAAGCGCCAAAAGTTTTATGTAGCTAGACATTACTTCTGCTTTCAGTTGCTGTTGAACAAGTTATTTCGTATCGCTCTAATATAAAATAAAAATTATATTTAATATGTAAAACATAATTTTTCTTTAATAAGTTAATCATATACCTAGTATTTGACATTCAGTTGTTTCCCAGAGTCCCGTTTCTAGACATTGAATTATGCCTATGCTTGCATTGTAACCCGTTTCACAGCTTACGTTTGCAAGTGCGCTATAGGTTGTATTATTTTCTTCTAGAAGTGTGACTGTACCTTTTGTAACAACAGGTACTTCTCCGCAATCTTAAAAAGAAAATTAGAATCATCATAAGTTAATTAATGACTTATTTAATTATTCTTACTCATTTGATACAATATATCATATTGCAAGTATACTTACCAACTAGTTCGCAACTAATGTTATCCCATTTTCCAGTGTCAAGACATTGTATTGTTTCTGAAGTAGCATTATAGCCTTGTTCGCATGTAACAACTGCTTCTGTGCCATAAGAACTCAGTCTATCCACTTTTAACACTACATTTCCATTATCTAGCAGTGGAACATTTCCGCAATCTAAACAATGAGTAGAATACAATGTTAATAAAATGACTTGTAAGGAACTAGTAGGAAAGGCTTCAAACACCATGATTGATCATATTAATAGGTAAAGTTGAGAAACTCTAAAATGATACTAAATATGCAGAATTCAACATAAATAACATGTTCGTAAACTAATATTGAGAAAGGTTTTTTTATGATCAAACATAAAATATGATTGGTTTCTAAAGTATTTGTAGATAACTTAACACCCTATGTCGTCTTTTTTATTTATGTTATTATTTGATAATATACGTGTACTACATATATTTTATATTATAAATGAGTGACTGTGGTTAATCTTTTACAACCGAATTTTATATCACCACACCTATCAAATTACATCCAGTTACATCCCAGTCCCCGGTGTCCCGACATTCTATGATATTTAGCGTCTCATTATAACCTGTGTCGCATGTCACTTCCGCCAAAGCGCCGTAAGTCGTGTTTCCATTTTCTTTTAGGGCTATGCTTCCATTCAATATTGATGGTACGTTTCCACAGTCTGTTAAAATAACAAACAGTAAAATAAGTTAACCCGACTGATCAAAATTAGATATTGTGCGTGTCTTTATATTATCCTTTACAGTAACATTCCACTGGTAATTATAGCAGCATTTTCGCCTAGAAATCGTCACGGTTGATGTATATGTAAGACATATGTTACTCCGAATTAAATACAAATGTATTTATCAACAATACTATTACTGTTCAACACCTTTAGAAATGTGATACTAGTGTATGTTTTCACATGTTAAATAGTCATTAGATAAATGACACAAAAACTATCAGACTATTAAAACAGCACTTAAGATTTCTTCTTTTTTTCACTACTTTATTCATAATAAATAGTTTATGTATTGTGCAACATTTTAATAATAACAATATTTACACATTCAGAGCTTTTATGACTCGAATAATGAAAAGATTTAAATGGGAGGGAGTCTGGAGGAGAAGGTTTCTTGATTCAATAAAAAATCAGATTTGTGAAAATATTTTGCCTTGCTTATAAAGTTTCACCTGATTAGGAATATAATTCAAGGAAGCAAATTAAGTTTCCTTTCTTTATCTTTCTCTTTCATTAAAACAAAACTGAATTAAACTGTTAAAACAGATTTCCCTTAACAACTGTGTCTTTACGTATGCCAATGTTTCTGTTACGTGTAGGTGAATCAATTTACCTATTGAATTACATGTTGCATTGTCCCATTCTCCTGTATCTAGACACAGAATAGTGTCTACTGTCGCGTTATATCCTGTTAAACATGATACACTCGCTATTGCACCATGTGTGGTATTTCCATCTTGTGTAAGAGTAATTTGTCCATTCGCGATGATCGGCACAGCCTCACAATCTTCAAATATAACTCAAGATAAGTTTCATTTTAAACATGGTCTATACAATTGCGTTCATTTCATGTATGACTTTTACACATTTAATAAAAATAAATATGATATTTTAGTTTAAACATTTATATCACTAAGACATGTATTTCAAATTTAATAATATCTTCATCCATTATTTTTAAATGATTAAAAGTTACCTAATATTTTACACTGTGGAGTTTCCCATTTTCCTGTTTCTAGACAAAGTATTGTTTCGGAGGTTGCATTGTAGCCACTGTTACATATAACCTCGGCTTGTTTACCATATGTAGTATTTTCAGATTCTTGTAAGGCTACAATCCCATTTAAAACGTCTGGCACAGCATCGCAATCTGGTCAGTAATAAATATTTGTATATTTAATCATATTTATGCGTTGACAACCGACGTGCAAAATTCTAGATTATTCACAAACTCGGATTTTCAAGAATAATAAATTTCATTGCGTAAAATGACCCAAAATTAAAATTGGGATAAGGATAAAAATCACACATAAAGTCGATTTTCAATTTGATACTGAGCATTTTATATTTTTGCATGTTTCTCCGTTTTAAGTGCAAAATTTAATATCTGTATGAATTTAGAATTATATATATTTTTTTATTTAGTTTGATACTAACAGAGCACATGGCGACTTTGAAGTTTAAAAATGTACTATGCTCAAATTTGATTTCAGAAAAATATTGACAATGAATACACATTCTCATATTTAATATAAAAAAATAAACATGTTTTGAATTAATACAAAGTAGAATGATATGCTATTTTTTTTAACTCTTAACACTATAGGTGGTCATAATAAGAATATATATTATATTAAAAAACTGGCATTATTTTAAGAAAAGACCAACTTTACTTGACCTGTAATAGGGAAAACAGCTTCCCATTCATAGTTTATTCATTCTTTTATCCAAATTATATATATTCAATAAGAATTTCAAATATTTCAATAAATTTCTATGTTAAAAATAATTTACTGAAGGATGAGCAAGGTATATCTTTAAGTGTTGGAGGAAAATCCTCAGGTGCCCCTCCGTATATCATTCAGGTACGAGCGGAACTACAGTATGCTAGCAAAATAGCTTCCTAAAATAGCTCAAAATGTGTCCATGGGACACGGGTGCCCTGATACTCCACTGTTTTGTTAATCTACTGACTCTTAGGTCAAATTTTCTTGGGCTGTGGTTGACATAAGTTGAAAACTGAATTTTATTTACTAAGTAAAAAAAGAAATAATCCACAAGCAAACCCCAAGGTGCATAACTTCACATGCTGACCAACATTCTTGTATACTTTCAGGACAACAGATCTAAGCTTTTTTAGCTTTGCATGAACAAGTCTATAATTCATACTAAGTCATGGACAATAACTCTAATAAAACAGAAAAATTCAACTTGCAAAACCACAAGGTGCACAGCTCTTCAGTGTTGTTGATCATCATTCCTGTAAAGTTGGTTGATTCTAACTCAAGCACTCGAGGAACACATAACAAAACATTTTTGGAATGGTTTTTACTAAGTTAAGGGCAATTACTCTACAAATACTGTATTAATCCATAAAACCCAAACTGCATGTCTATATTATGCGACCAGCATTTCTGTAAAGTTTCATTACTCTATGTCAAATACTTTTTGATATATACATGCTCAAGTACAAAATTGCAATTTTTTACTAATTCAAGGGCAATAACTGTAAAAATACTTAATAAATCCACAACCGAAACACCTGGTGCACAACAACATATGCTTACCACCATTCCTATCAAGTTTAATGATACTTTGTCAAATACTTTTTGAGCTAAGTGCGACATTACATGAAAATTGGAAATTTTTACTACGTCAAGGGCCATGATTTTGAAAAAACAAAATAAATCCACAAGCAAAACATCAGGTTCACAACTTTACAACCTGAGCAACATTCCTTTAAAGTGTCATAACCCTAGGTCAAAGACTTTTTGAGCTACATGCTACACAAGTTGACAAGAGCCATGTCAACATGGCCATCCCCCGCCGAATGTGTTTGCTCATTGGAAGAATGTATATGTAGTAGAGCAGAATAATTCCATTTTAAGAGGTCTTTTGGTAATGAAACTGATGGCTATAGTGATTACAGATTTGAAACCTATGTGAATACTGATGGCTGAAAATAACAAAGGGCAATCACTGAAAAATAATGCAGGGTAGGTTATCATTCTTGTGTGCTGCATCCCTCCTCAGTAAAATCTATCCACCTATGAAGTTTCAAGTTGATACCTCAAATACTTTTTGAGAAAATAATTGAATTGAAAAATTAAGTATGAAAAATAACAAAGGGCAATAACTCAAAAATTATAAAAGGTACAGTTATCATTATTGTGCAGTGCACGCCTCCTGAGTGAGATCTATGCACCTATGAAGTTTCATTTTGAATATCTCAAAGGCTTTTTGAGTTATGCTCTGGACAAAATCAATTTTGAAAAATAACAAAGGGCAATAACTCAAAAATAATGCAGGGCAGAGTTATCATTCTTTAGCACTGCACTCCTCCTCAATGAGATCCATCCACCTATGAAGTTTCAAGTTGATACCTCAAATACTTTTTGAGATAAGCTCTGGACAAAATAGCATGAAAAAAACAACAAAGGGCAATAACTGAAAAATTGTATAGGGAAGAGTTTTCATTCTTGCGCACAACATTCCTCCTCAATAAGATCTATCCTTCTATGACATTTCATGTTGATATCTCAAACACTTTTTGAGTTATGCTCCACTCAGGTGAAAAATTAGGTATGAAAAATAACAAAGGGCAATAACTCAAAAATTATGAAAGGAAGAGTTATCATTCTTTAGCACTGCACACCTCCTGTGTGAGATCTATGCACCTATGAAGTTTCATGTTAATATCTCATAGGCTTTTGGAGTTATGCTCTGGACAAAAATCAATTTTGAAAAATAACAAAGGGCAATAACTCAAAAATCATGCAAGGTAGAGTTATCATTCTTTAGCACTGCACTCCTCCTCAATGAGGTCTATCCACCTATGAAGTTTCAAGTTGATAACTCAAATACTTTTAGAGATATGCTCCGGACAAACATTTCGGACGGAAGGACGGACGGACGGAAGGACGGAAGGTCGGACGGACGGACGGACGGAGACTATTTCTATATCCTCCGCCGAAAATTTTCGGCGGGGGATAAAAATTATAAATTTTCAAAAAATCAAGGACCATCATTTTGACAAAACAGAATAATGCCACAATTGAAATAATAGGTGCACATCTTCACATGTTGAGCAACATTCCTGTAAAGTTTCATGACCCTAGGTAAAATAATTTCTGAGCTACGTGTGTAACAATTTTAAAATTGCAAATTTGTACTAAGTCAAGGGCAATTACCCTGCAAATACTGAATAAATCCGCACGCAAACACCCAGGTGCTCAACTACACATGCTGACCAATATTCCTATAAGTTTCATGGCTCTAGGTCAAATATGTTTTGAGCTACGTGCGACACAAAATAGAACCGATGGATGGACGGAAAGACGGATGGACGGACAAAGGTAAATCTAAATTCCCCTCTCCCCCTATAGTGGGGGCACAATAATAATAAACCCGAGCAATTATACTTTTCTTTAGTGAATTTTAAGTCCAACCAGCACCTTCCAGCTTTGCTTTTGTAGAAAAACTTTAGGTGCCCTTCCCTTATTAAGACAAAAAAGGCACCTTAGTAGAACCACCAACGTTCCGAAAGCAAACTGAATAGCTTCCTCTCATGAAAGAATCCACAGTTCCTATCGTGATTTGAACCCACAGCGGTGAAAGGCAAGTGGAAGTATGACATAATTATATGTTGGAAACATAATAATTCAGCAAACCATTAAATACATTTTTTTTTCATTCGGAACAATTATTGATTCCTTGTATTGTCTCTTCTTCATGCTTGTTTCAAATAAAAGCGCCAAAAAATTTATGTAGTTAGACTTTACTTCTGCTTTAAGGTGCTGTTGAAAAAGTTATTCCATATCGTTCTATTATAAAATAAGAATTATATTTAATATGTAAAACATATTTTTTCTTTTATAAGTTAATCACATACCTAGTATTTGACATTCAGTTATTTCCCAGAGTCCCGTTTCTAGACATTGTATTATGCCTTTGCTTGCATTGTAGCCCGGTTCACAGCTTACGTTCGCAAGTGCGGTATAGGTTGTGTTATTTTCTTCTAGAAGAGTGATGGTACCTTTTGTAACAACAGGTACTTCTCCGCAATCTAAAAAAGAAAAATTATAAATTATAATAAGTTAGCTAATGATTCTTAGTCATTTCACACCAGATATCATATATGAAGAATACTTACCAACTATTTCGCAACTAGTGTTATCCCATTTTCCAGTGTCAAGACATTGTATTGTTTCTGAAGTAGTATTATAGCCTTGTTCGCATGTAACAACTGCTTCTGAGCCATAAGAGCTCAGTCCATCCACTTTTAACACTACATTGCCATTATCTAGCTGTGGAACAGTTCCGCAATCTAAACAATAATAGAATACAAAGTTGATAAAATGACTTGTAAGGAAATAGTAGGGAAGGCTTCAAACTATGAATGATCATATAAATAAGCAAGATTAACTAATTCTAAATTGAGACTGAATGTCGCAGAATTAGACATTAATAACATGTTAGTAAACTTATATTGAGAAATGCGTTTATCGATTAAACATAACATATTATTCGATTCCAATATATTTGTAGATAACTTAACACTCTATGTCGTCTTTTCGATATGTTATTATAAGATAATATGAAATAATATGATTGTACTACATATTATCAATTTCGACTGTGGTTAATCTTTTAAGATGATTTTTATATCACCATACCTATCAAAGTACAATCAGTAGCATCCCAGTCTCCGGTGTTCCGACATTCTATGATATTTAGCGTCTCATTATAACCTGTTTCGCATGTCACTTCCGCTAAAGCGCCGTAAGTCGTGTTTCCATCTTCTATTAGGGTTATGCTTCCATTCGATATTAATGGTACGTTTCCACAGTCTGTTAAAATAACAACGAGTAAAATTAGTTAACAAGATTGATCAAAATAAGATTGTGCGTGTCGTTATATTATCGAGAGTGACCGTTCCACTGGTAATTATAGCAGCATGTTCGTCTAGAAATCGTATAGGTTGATGTATACTGTAAATTATATGTTACTATACATCGCTTTACAGTGTTTTACAATGCTGACATCTTGATTTTTCTCAAATAAGCAGCAAGAATACTAAATATCATTGTTTATATACTAAAGTATGCTAAAATATAATAACAAACAAATTCTTAGATGTACAACTTCACATGCATAAAGTTTTATGACGGTCTAAGTCAAATATGTGAATTACGCACAATCAAGTTGAAAATTGCAATTTTTTCTATGTCAAGGGCAATTACTTTACAAATAAATCGACAGACAAACCCTCTGGTGCATAACTATACATGCTGACCAACATTCCTTTAAAGTTTCATAACTCCAAGTCAAATACCTTTTGAACTTTGCGCGACACAAGTGGAAAAAAAATCAAATATTTTCTAAGTCAAAAGGAATAACTCACCGCGCGATACGTAAGCTGCACAACTTCACAAGCTGATCAATATTCCTGTAAAGTGTGTTGACTCTAGGTCAAAGACAAATGTAAGTGTACTCCCCCGAAGAGTTGGGGCATAAAAATACTAAATAATGTCTCAAAGCACGTTCATTATTTTGGAAGAAAGTTAAAACATCTTTCTTCAAATAAGCATTTATATACAATGACGCTACCCAGCTTACGAACGTCGATGGTCCTATTCAGGTACATGTACCCGTACGTGCCTGAAACAATGCAAAGAGGTTAACCTGGGATTTTTTTCCATCGGTAAAGCTCGAAAGCTACTATATGACCTTATAGCGTTGGTGCAATATAAAATAAGATCAAACTAAACTATCAATGTCGTTACAGTCAGCATGACATTGTAAACTTTAAACTTTTGGATAAAATGTCTATATAATACAACGCAAGTACACACCAACAATATCACAAGTCGTGTTATCCCATTTCCCATTATCGCCACACTCTATGGTAGGTAAGGTTGTATTATAGCCGGTGTTACATCTAACTTCTGCAAGAGCACCATAAGAGCTATTTCCAGCCTGGTTTAAGGTTATGGATCCACCATTAATCAACGGAACAGTTCCACAATCTGCAAACGTGTTTATCAAACATCAAAACATCTATTCTACTTAAAAAGAACTATCATTCATTTTTCAATACAGTTTATCCATGGTAACTCATAATGTAATTACCTTACCAAGTTATATAAGAACCAAATCAGCATTATGGAAATAATCTTGTTTATCAAAATCAATATTGTTCTGACCAAACTAATTCCAAAGGGATTGCAAATCAAATGCGAAATGCACAAGCTTTTATGAACATGTAAAATATTATTCGATTCCAATATATTTGTAGATAACTTAACACTCTAGGTCGTCTTTTCGATATGTTATTATAAGATAATATGAAATAATATGATTGTACTGCATATTATCAATTGCGACTGTGGTTAATCTTTTAAGATTATTTTTATATCACCATACCTATCAAATTACAATCAGTAGCATCCCAGTCCCCGGTGTTCCGACATTCTATGATATTTAGCGTCTCATTATAACCTGTTTCGCATGTCACTTCCGCTAAAGCGCCGTAAGTCGTGTTTCCATCTTCTATTAGGGTTATGCTTCCATTCGATATTAATGGTACGTTTCCACAGTCTGTTAAAATAACAACGAGTAAAATTAGTTAACAAGATTGATCAAAATAAGATTGTGCGTGTCGTTATATTATCGAGAGTGACCGTTCCACTGGTAATTATAGCAGCATTTTCGTCTAGAAATCGTATAGGTTGATGTATACTGTAAAATATATGTTACTTTACATCGCTTTACAGTGTTTTGCAATGCTGACATCTTGATTTTTCTCAATTAAGCAGCAAGAATACTAAATCTCATTGTATATACTAAAGTATGCTAAAATATAATAACAAACAAATTCTTAGATGAACAACTTCACATGCATAAAGTTTCATGACGGTCTAAGTCAAAAATGTGAATTACGCACAAAACAAGTTGAAAATTGTAATTTTTTCTATGTCAAGGGCAATTACTTTAATTACAAATAAATCGACAGACAAACCCTCTGGTAAATAACTATACATGCTGACCAACATTCCTTTAAAGTTTCATAACTCCAAGTCAAATACCTTTTGAACTTTGCGCGACACAAGTGGAAAAAAAATCAAATATTTTCTAAGTCAAAAGGAATAACTCACCGCGCGATACGTAAGCTGCACAACTTCACAAGCTGACCAATATTCCTGTAAAGTGTGTTGACTCTAGGTCAAAGACAAATGTAAGTGTACTCCCCCGAAGAGTTGGGGTATAAAAATACTAAATAATGTCTCAAAGCACGTTCATTATTTTGGAAAAAAAGTTAAAACATCTTTCTTCAAATAATCATTTATATACAATGACGCTACCTAGCTTACGAACGTCGATGGTCCTATTCAGGTACCCTTACGTGCCTGAAACAATGCAAAGAGGTTAACCTGGGATTTTTTTTCCATCGGTAAAGCTCGAAAGCTACAATATGACCTTATAGCGTTGGTGCAATATAAAATAAGACAAAACTAAACTATCAATGTCGTTACAGTCAGCATGACATTGTAAACTTTAAACTTTTGGACAAAATGTCTATATAAAACAACGCAAGTACACACCAACAATATCACAAGTCGTGTTATCCCATTTCCCATTATCGCCACACTCTATGGTAGGTAAGGTTGTATTATAGCCGGTGTTACATCTAACTTCTGCAAGAGCACCATAAGAGATATTTCCAGCCTGGTTTAAGATTATGGATCCACCATTTATCAACGGAACAGTTCCACAATCTGAAAAGGTGTTTGTCATGTTTATCAAACATCAAAACATCTATTCTACTCAAAAAGAACTATCATTCATTTTTCAATACAGTTTATCAATAGTAACTCATTATGTTATTACCTTACCAAATTATATAAGAACCAAATCAGCATTGTGGAAATAATCTTGTTTATCAAAGTCAATATTGTTCTGACCAAACTAATTCTAAAAGGTTTGCAAATCAAATACGAAATGCACAAGCTTTTATGAACATGTGATTGGTGCTGCTTTTTATCAGTTTTTGCATTATTATGAATGTATAAACTTGCCTATAAGATCACATGTAGGTTTATCCCATTCGCCAGTATTGTGACATTCTAAAATATCTCGCGATTTGTTATAACCTGTGTCACATATCACTTCAGCTAAAGCACCGTATGTGGTATTCCCATCTTCTACAAGTTCTATGCTCCCATTCAAAACTGATGGGACATTTCCACAGTCTAAATAAAAAACAAAGAAAAACATCGCCATTGTCTAAAAAAAGACATTAAAACAGTTATTTTTGTTTTTGAAGAAAAAGTCTATTATTTCGCATGAACAACTAAACACCAAATATGCTGCATAGAATTACAACACAGTGACAGGGAATAAAGATATAAATACAAATTTGAAATCAAATTAGGTGTTACTTGTCCTTGTTGTGAGTTACCTGCTCATGAAAATGGCCTAACATAGGCAGGTAACTGTAAAGGAAGAGCTGTGACCTATATATTATTCTTTATCTCGAAACATTGTTTCAGTTATGATTCTCTTTAATAATGCAAATTTTAAAAAGATTCTTTTCACTTGTTTAAATTGTCCTTCTTTGTGTAAAAACTGGACAAAACTGTAGATTTTTATTTTAAAACAATTAACATAGTAAAATTTAAATTGATGATGATAAATAAGTTCAACGAAAACACCACACCAATAATATTGCAAGTGATGTTTTCCCATTCCCCTGTGTCCAGACAAACTATGGTATTTAATGTCGTGTTATAGCCTGTGTTACATGTTACTTCGGCTAAGGCACCGTATGAGCTATTTCCACTCTCTTGTAAAATAATGCTTCCATCATTTATAACCGGCACATCTCCACAATCTGCAAACGTCAAATATTGAAATTATATTTTCTTATGACAATCACTTACATCAAAACGATTAACATCCCTTTCAAATGCCAAAATTGTACATGAGCATGAAAATGATAACTAAAGAAAATGCATTTAAATGTTGTTGTTTTTTGTTGTTGTTGTTTTTCTACATAAAGTTAATATTTTCATCTATATGATTTAATTATTAAGAAAAAACAATTGATGCAGCTAAAAACATTCGTTAATATATAATTCTTTATATCATTTAATTTAACTTTTAGGGGATTTTAATTCGACTTGCTGTCATTGACAAAACGGAACATCCTTCTTGTATCATACATAATACGTAATAACAATAGTGATATCATAGGAGATAAAAATAGCATGGATATCAACTTTAAGACAAAACAACTAATTAGGTATAATTACAAACCAACAATAGTGCAAGTTGCGTTATCCCATTCCCCTGTATTAAGACACTGTATGGTATCTGACGTTGTGTTATAGCCTATGTTACATGTTACTTTGGCTAAGGCGCCGTATGAGCTATTTCCCTCCTCTTGCAAAACTATGTTTCCATTATTTATAAACGGCACATCTCCACAATCTGCAATAATAACACCAATTTTGTTACAAATGACTTTTTTTGACAATCAATTGCATAAAGACGAATGGCATCCCTTTCAATTGCTTTGCCATATAAGTAAAGAATATTTATTTTAAGTTTCAAATCGGGAATATTTGATGTTGTTGTCATTTTTGTAAAAGATCTATTAGCTATCCAATCAATTCACATAACGCCGTATCCCATTCTTGAGTAGAACGACATTCTGTCACATTTAACGTCCCTATATATCTGATGTCACATAATACATTTGCTAATGCCTCGCGTCTGGTATTGCCCACCACTTCAAATAGCTCAATATATCAATACTATTTGATATTGCCATCTGTAATAATGTGCATGAGCATATAAATGATAATTTAAGAAAATACGTGCATCCTTTCTTTTCTCTTTTTTTTCCTTTCTTTGTAAATATTTTCATCTAAATAGTTTGCATGTACCACAACAAGATATAACGATGGTGATATTATAATAGAAGATATCAAGTGTTTCACATAACAAATAATTAGGTAGTATTACAAACCAACAACAGTACAAGTCGCGTTTTCCCATTCTCCCGTATCAAGACACTGTATAGTATCTAACGTTGTGTTATAGCCTGTATCACATATCACATCGGCAAAGGCGCCGTATGAGCTATTACCGGCTTCTTGCAAATCGATTATTCCACCATTTATTAGTGAAACATCTCCACATACTGCAAAACATAAAACTAGACCATTAAAAATGACATTTGCTTTATGATAATATGTCATGATGATTATCCTTACATATAGATGTTATACTATGTTACGAAAGAACACTTGGTTTGTCCTTTGTGAAGTTTCCAATTTAATACATATACTTAAATTAAGACTTACTTAATAATTTACATGAAGTTGCATCCTACTTTCCTGAATAGTGACATCTCTACCAAGAGAGATACTGGTTTTATCCGTGTGATAAATATCTTTTTTATGACATACATCACCCACAGTCTGGGTGATATTTTGCGTACGTTTCAATGTTTATTATTCTGTAAATTTGCAAATTAACACACAAGTGAATTGTTAACGGCTTAAATTTTTAACGTATATCCTACGATTGCAAGTTCACTAATTAATTCAATTTGACTTTTGCGGTTATTTCCGCAATCTGTGGTGATGTACAAAGGTATATATAAACAACAAAAAGTAAAATGGCCAGATATTTCTTTTAAATAAAGTAAATATTGTCATCATCAGATTAAATTACTCTCAGAAAATTACTATGTAGCAATAGCATACATTTGTAACATTGTCAGTTGTATGAGTAATAGAGTGTATTATATCATTATCTATATGGAGATTCATTAAGTCAAAAACATAATACGCATGCGATTGTCGTTGTTTATATTGTGCAAGCGCAAAGTCCTAAGATATTGCTCATAAAGTCAAAGCAAAATATAAACTACGACAAAATGTATAATATATTGCCTTTGAAGTTGTTATTCATAATTTATCATAAATTTATTCATCTGCACACGCATTCGCCACTAGAAATGTAAAAAATCTATTTATCGATTTTAAATAGATATGCATTGGTCTTCCATTTCCTATCCGCCATGCCCTGACATAAGCGGTTAACAGATTGGTTCATTTTTCCTAAAAGATAATAATAGCTCTCATATGATGTAGTTCGGATAGGAATACCCGTCCAGAGGGGACCTGCCCATGAGACTTGCCGACTATCCGAACTGCAAACATATGTCAGGTGATTTTCTTGCATTTCCTTCCATATTTCATCATATTTTGGATACTTTACCTTAATATGGAAATGCATTTCATAACAATCGTAACTATTTTCTTACCACAGCTTATAGAATTACAACTTTATTCGACACGGCGCAATTACGTCATCCTAAGCATGCTATTGTATACCACGCGACATGTCTGGCAACCCAAATGCCAAATGTATATTATTGTTCACGGACAACTTTCATTTAAAGAAAAGTATGCTTCTTTATGAGTTAACTTATTAAATGAGCTATGACTTAAAAAGCAATTTCGATTTGATCAAAACGGCAATGAGACATTTATTGGACCAGGGAATCAAAATATATTTTGCTATATTATGTTGTGTAAATAATACACTATCATGTATGAAAAAACAATTAATAGATTAACTACACACCAACAACAGTACATGTTGTGTCCTGCCACTGTCCTGTTATCTGACACTGTATGGTATGTAATGTTGTGTTATAACCCGTATCACATGTCACATTGGCTACAGCACCATATGAGCTATTTCCGTCAATTTGCAAAGCTATGCTTCCGTAATCTAATAACGGGACATCTCCACAATCTGTAAATACGTTATCGTAAACTTATTAGGAAAGGGTTGTTTTATATCTGAATTTTTCTCTCTTTTTTTCTTCTTTTTTCTGATATGCAATGCCCATTTTATGCCACTCCAGCTAAATACATTACATATTTAATGCTATATGTTTTCGTCATTCATGAGCGGATCATATAAAAAATAACACAAGTGTATGTACGAAAAGCGTCACCAGAAATAGAACAAGCTTATGCTTAGAATTAATATCCTACCCTCAAATTATGGTATGTTATTTGGTCATTCTGTTAAAACATGTTATAATAATAATCACTATTTTAAGATTCAAGTGATGTGAAAGCGTTTGGCAATGCTAACTGTTAGACTTATACAATATTCCTAGTGGATGGCCTCCCTTTCCGGCCCCAACTAAAACGCAATGCCGTAGTAATCGGAACACGTGCTTATATGTATTGCGACATATTAACATGTAAGATTGACCTAAATGATATAATCTTGCATCAAATTTACAACATTAATATGTACCGCGGCAAACAGGGGCAACACCCAACAGGCATATATTAGCTGATTTTTTTAAATCATGGAATCACTGTAAAGACACTTAAATTTGAAACATACGGTACACACATTTTTAAAATCCTTATCTTTAAGATGAATGTAGCCAAGGATTTGTCAACTCCATTCTCAATATTTTATGACCTGATCCTCCAATAATAATAAGCAAGGTAACAACTTTACAGAAAATCTAGATGTAAATGTTTGCACTTTCTGTACTATTCGTTTCTGTTTTGTTTTTTGCTTTCCTTCTCTAAACATATAGACATCTATTTGAAATAATGAGTGTATTTTAACTAAGGATTTTTTGAAGATCATGACGAGGAACTGACAAATATAAAAGACAATGTCAATAAACCATTTTATATCCTATATACGTACAGTTTGTATTAAGTACACTGTTTCTTACCTATTATTTCGCAAGTTACACTTTCCCAAGTTCCGTTACTAAGACACTGGATATATTCTTTACTGGAATTGTATCCATAGTCACATGTCACGATTGCAACAGCACCATAGGTTGTGTTGCCACCGTCGATCGGTAAAATTGTCCCACTTTCTATAGCTGGTACTGTATTGCAATCTGGAAATAAAAAAAAATATGTTAAGTTTTATTGTACCTTTGAATATGAATTTAGTAAAATATTCTTCACCGATGATTTACGTAAGGTGCTACCGTCATACACACTTTTCGATTTGTTTAATTGATGTGAGCATATAGAATATAGAGCTATGTTTAAAGACAACTTTATATAAAAATTTTAGAAAGGTAGAAAAAATATCTGTAGAAATTCTTTTTTTTTCTTTAACACGTGATGCCGCATTCGATGTTGCAGCAGTTGATGAGAAATTATACAAGCATATTTCATACATATAAAGTCTTTTGGAAATGTCCTTCTTTACAATTTAAACAATCATTTTGTAACTTCATGCAGCTAATTCATAGCTTTATACACCTCTGCGTTCATTTATATGTATGCGATAACATCGTAATTTTTTTCCGTCATTATAAACAACACACATGCACATGAATTTTGCAGATGTTATAAAATACCACAATGACGGACATCACTGATAGGGTGAACACAGAAATATGCTGTATAAACATTGCAGTTACTTGCTAAAATTATTGTGAATACCTTTTATTAAGCACGGTTCATATGTTGACCAGGTATCAAATTCCTCACAAGTTATCACAGGGTTGCTGCTTTCATAACCTTCTATACAAGTTAATGTAGCGTTTGTTCCATATGTCGTTACTCCTTCCTCGTCAAGTATAAACTCTCCATTCAACGTATCGTTTGGTAGAGAGCTGCAGTCTTAATGATTTCAGAAATAAAACAAAATTCTTAGTATTATTACAAAATGAAGCAAAACCAGTCAGAGGAGCAGCACACTCCAGTATTCTATGTGGTAGATATAAGTGTTAAAGCAAATTAGACAAGGTTGCATAATTTTGTTAAACTGGTAGACTACTTATAACAAAGTAATTCTTGTTGGAAGTGAAAACTTTAAAAAGGCTTTTTTGATAAACAGAAGACAGATATATAATTTCTTTTGAAGCTAAACTGGCGTTTAGAAATGCATTAAATGTTTGACATTGAAGATGTTTTTAATGTTTACAGTGAATATGTTTGATAATTTTCACTAAAGCCAACGCAAAAGTCCAGGTGATTAGGAATGTCACATTTTTCAATGAATCATCGAGCTAAAAAGGTTAACCAACGCCGACGATGATGCCGCCGACGAATGGGTCATATAAAAGTGACTTCAGAAATTCTTTATATGAAATAAGTTCTTGTATTCATTTGTTTCACGTTGTACTTGACATTGTTTACCTAGCTTTTATCTCTAAATTTAAACAGGCACATTGCTGTCAAATGTTTCTTACGATAGTAACGGTGCTATTTTGGTACTACTTTACCACATGGTCTGTAATAGTAAATAACTAAGTAGCAATTGATATTGCTAATTGTTCTTTAGTATATTTTATAATGATAGCTAGCAGTTCTTTTCTGTCTTTTAATAAAGAATTTCCAAAAATAATACAATGTAAAGTATGTATTACTTGCTAGAAATAAATGTCTATAAAAAATACCAACCTGAGAAATCGCAGGTACGATTTTCCCATGTACCTGCAGGTGTACAAAATATGAAATCAAACTTCAAGAAGGTACCATTTATGTGATATCCAATGTCACATTCAACAACAGCTCGTTCACCTAACTGTGTATATCCCTCAAATGCAAGAGTAGTATTACCATTTAGTACTTCTGGCACCAGTCCACAATCTTTAAACAATAAATGTAACATATATTAAAGTAGTTTGTATAGAAAAAGAAAAAAAAACTAGAAATATTTTAAGACTTTGCTATTGCATTTCAAAATACCTTGAAATTCATCTTGTCTGTGTGATTTAAAGCTTCTGCTCCTAGAAACTATGTCAAGTAGCTAAGTTTATTTGCATGATATGCATAAGTAGAAGAGTGGTTAGCATGAACCTTATAGCTTAAATATACTTAAATTTCAGTAACGAGACGACCATAAAATAGAATCAGCGATTTGTTAATCAAGCGTTATATATGCATTGAAATGGTAAAACAATCATTTATAACGTAATCATTACTATAAATGCACACCTGGAAGTTGTGTGTATTTGTAAAGTTTTTTTTTTGTTTTTTTTTTTTTTTTTTTTTTTTTTGGTGGGTTTTGTGACGTTCTTTTTTCTCATTATGATTAGTTTATTACTATTATTTTTGTTAATGATATGATTTACAACTGATAGATCAGTTCATATATATTTAACATTCGAACTATTAATGTTCATGTTCGTACTCTATTATTCCTTAAACTATAAATCATTAAATTAGGTATGCTTGTATGAACCGTAATATTTTGTTATTATTCTTTGTAAGACGGATTGGGTCGATTGTTGGAATCTCGCTTCAGACAAATGTAGCATTAATAATGACCAGTCTCCTTATGTTCATTATTGAAACCATAATTATTATAAATCTTGTTTGTATCTAGAGCTCCATTAACCATAGTCTTACCAATTTTTTCACAAGTTACACTTTCCCAAGTTCCGTTTCTAAGACACTGGATATATTCTTTACTGGAATTGTATCCATGTTCACATGTCACGTTTGCAACAGCACCATAGGTTGTGTTGCCATCGTCAATCGGCATTATTGTCCCAAAGGTTATAAACGGTACTGTATTGCAATCTGAAAACAAACAAATTTTACAATGATAAAAATAAGTTTTAGTGGGCCTTTATATAAAGTCAGTAAAATATTCTTCAAGGGGTGTGTTTCTTAGTTACTGGAATAGAAAATTTGTGTTTATATTTCTTCGTTAATGGGATAAAAAAATTGTGTTTATATTTCTTAGTTACTGGGATAGAAAAAAGGTGTGTTTATGATATGAATTTGAAGGGTAAAATGGCTGTATCTCTAGACAATTTTAAATGAATATTATAAAAAAGGTAAAATTATGTTATTTCCATAATCTTCTTGTCAATTCTCAACCCAGTCGTCACATACATATAATGTTTCTGTTATCTAACACACATGAATATTTATTTGTACGTAAACCGATTAAATTGTTAAGGAAAATAATATTATGCTGCTATTTAAGTAGATTTTCTTTCGTATAGCGATAATTTTGTCATACTACATTCGCTCTTGAAAATGAAATATAAAAATTTATAATTTATTAAAGTACTTTGTAATTATTCTTTATTGAAATTCAAGCAATAATTGTGTAAGCTAACTTTAGCAAATATATAGCTTTATACTCAATTGCGTTAATTTATATGTATGAGGTAACATCAGTATTATTAACGTCATTATTAAATTTAAATACAACAATGAGGAACAACCTTAATATGATGAACATAGAAATGAAATGTATGACAATTGTAGCTACTTGCTAAACAATTGCAATACCTTTTATTAAGCACGGTTCATATGTTGACCAGGTATTAAGTTCCTGACAGGTTATCACAGGATTACTGCTTTCATAACCATCTATACAAGTTAATGTAGCGTTTGCTCCATATGTCGTTACTCCCTCCTCGTCAAGTATAAACTCTCCATTCAACGTATCGTTTGGTGGAAGTCCGCAATCTTAATGTAGATAAAGAAAAGAAAAGTCATGTAAAAATGCCAATATAAAACGCATTTTAAATGGATATTATGCGTACAAACATATGTCTGTGGTGGAAATATAACAGACGCTTTCAGGACCTATTTTTACAGTACAGCTAAGATCAAAACAAGAAAGCGGGTTTTTATTATCTATTTATCTTCTTCCGTGTTTGTTTTGTTTTTTTTCTTTCTTTTTGCTTCTTTGTTTGTTTGTTTACTTTTTTCATTTTACTTAATGAACAAATTAATCACCTGACTAAAAACAGTAATAGTGGTTCTATAAAGAAAAATACATAAATATTCGACAATCAAATAACATTCTACGAAAAATGATCACATTCAGATTAAACCATTTTGACGGAGAAAAGCACAATTTTCATATGGTCATGTAATGTGAATTTTATGCTGATGGTGTGATATGAAACTTACCAAAACCTAAAAAGTTAACAGATTGTATCCTTAATTGCAATTTTCCTTACTAATTTGGTAAAATATTTCTGTTATAAACACATTGTTATTTTATATTCCTGCAACTAAATCAAATATGTACTAGCTCGTTAATGCTGACTTGTCCAAAGCTATATTTCTATTTTAGACGAATCAGGGACATTGATAGTATCAATAAACTGAACTTGAACTAGGCAATCAATATAATTTCTTTTTGAAGGATTTTTGCATCAGATAGCATTAAAGTTACTTATTAACATATGAAAAATAAACTGACCGTATTGCTTAGGCCTAACAACAATTGTTAAAACATTAGAAGTACTTTGCTCATAGAGTTTGTGTTATGTTTTAAAGTCATACGGTTCACTGAAACGAACCATACCTGAGATATTACAGGTCCGATTATCCCATGTGCCCGATCCTCTACAAAAGACGTAAAACACTTTGTACGGGTTATTGTCTATTTCCGTTGCATATCCTGTATCACATTTAACTGTAGCCCGGTCATTGAACTTTGTTTCTCCCTCAACATCAAGAGTTGTGTTGCTATGTAAAATTTCTGGCACTGGTCCGCAATCTGTACAAAAAAAGATGTTGTCTTGCAATAAGTAGCTTGCTATATACAAAGTTTGATTACAATATCTCATTCCTAACACTAGTTATTGTCCGTAAACCAATTTTCTATTTTGGTAACATTGACTTTGACCTTAACCCCAGCGGCTCACAAAGCAAAACCAACTGGGGTCTTCACATAAGCTTGCTATATTCCAAGTTTGATTACAATATCTAATTCCAAACTCTAGTTATTGTCCGGAAACCATTTATCTATTTTAGTAACAGTGATATTGGCTTTGACTCAGGGGGGTCCGAAAGCAATACCAATCGGGTCCGAAAGCAATACCAATCGGGGTCATAACATAAGCTTGCTATACTAAGTTTGATTACAATTTTACATTTTTTACTATTTTTAGTAACGGTTACCTTGACCTTTTACCTAGCAGGTCCAAAAGCAATGCTATCCGGCGTTTTCACATCATGTTACTTTATACTAAATTTTATTAAAATACCTCATTTCAAAGTATAGTTATCAAACCAAAAAGGAGACCGACCAGTCCGACGACCGTCCGACCGACGGACAAGCAGACTCGTATATATATCCCCCTAAACTTCGTTTGTGGGGGTGTAATGATGTTGTTACATTTTACATCTTTAAAAACACATATGCCCCCTTTTCTAGCCCTTGACTCATACTTTTGCTAATTCTGTTACAGAAACATGCCAAAAATGGGAACATGGAAGTGTTCAACCAACTTTGACATTTGTGACACTTCCAAATCAATAGTTATTAACCGGAAGCGAATTTTATATTTGAAGTTACTGTAATTGTGACTTTTGATCTAGTGTCTCTTAAATCAATAAAGGTCATATTCTAGTTATGACTTATCAATATATGAAATATGAAGACTTTAAATGTTGAATTCTGCTTACGCCGGTGCTAGGGGGACTTGCACTTTCCAGTACCGTCCATGAACAGGCTCAATCAAACCGAACCTGCAACATTTTCAATTTTGTTGTGTTGGGCTTTCTGTAGGGATTCTGCTTTACTCTATTTGTGATAATGAACAGTACCCATTCCGACATATAAGGTCCCTGTTACCTTGACCTGTGACATAGTGACTCCAAGATCAAAAACGGTCATCTAATAATTATTATCAATCAAGATGTGAAATATGAAGACTTGGTAACTAATTGGTGTCAAGAGAATGCGTGGAAACCATTTTTACATTCAAGGTTATTGTGACTTTGACCTTTGACTTCGTGAGCTCAAAATCATCTTCTAGTGACGATCAGTTAAAATGTGAAACTCAAAGACTTGATAACAAGTAGTTTTAAAAAGAATAAATGGAAACCATTCTAACAATTTAGGTTCCTGTGACCTTGACCTTTGCTCTAAAGACCTCATAATCAATAGGGGTAATCTACTAGTTATTACCAATCAACATGTAAAATATAACGACTAAGTGTTAAATAGTTTTTAAGATAATGAGTGAAAACTACTCTGACATTAAAGGCCCCTGTGACCTTAACCTTTGAACTAGTGACCCTAAAATCAATAGGAGTCATTTACTAGTTATGATCAATCAGTATGTGAAATATGAAGACTTGGTAACTAATTGGTGTCAAGAGAATGCGTGGAAACCATTTTTACATTCAAGGTTATTGTGACTTTGACCTTTGACTTCGTCAGCTCAAAATCATCTTCTAGTGACGATCAGTTAAAATGTGAAACTCAAAGACTTGATAACAAGTAGTTTTAAAAAGAATAAATGGAAACCATTCTAACAATTTAGGTTCCTGTGACCTTGACCTTTGCTCTAAAGACCTCATAATCGATAGGGGTAATCTACTAGTTATTACCAATCAACATGTAAAATATAACGACTAAGTGTTAAATAGTTTTCAAGATAATAAGTGAAAACTACTCTGACATTAAAGGCCCCTGTGACCTTAACCTTTGAACTAGTGACCCTAAAATCAATAGGAGTCATTTACTAGTTATGATCAATCAGTATGTGAAATATGAAGACTTTGTGATAAAAAACATTTTCAAGATAATGAGTGGAAAACATTTTAAGATTTAAGACCCCTGTGACCTTGACCTTTGGCCTAGTGACCTAAAAACAATCGGGGTTATCTACTTGTTATGACCAATCAGAATGTGAAATATGAAGACTTTGTGATTATAGTTTTCAAAATAATGAGCGGAAACAATTGTGACATTTAACGCTTCTGTGACCTTGACCTTTGACCTAGTAACCTCAAAATCAATAGGGTCATCTACTAGTTTTGACCAATCAGTATGTGAAAAATTAAGACTCTGTGATCATTTTTTTAAGACAATCAGCAGAAACCATGTGGTCTACCGACAGACAGACAAACCGACCGACATTAGCAAAACAATACACCCCCTGTTCCTCGGAAGCGGGCATAATAAAGTATAAAAAACATTCTTTCCCTATGGTACAGTTTATTACTAGAAACACATAGCGTTTGTCTAGTCATTAAAACCTCCTCTTCCTTAATGAATATTTAAACAATCATCGGTATTACAAACATTGATTGATAAAAGTGATATTTTTTTAGCTTACCAATTCTTGTACATACAGTTGTATCCCATTCACCTGACGACTGACAATATATAGTTGTCACATTTGTTTCATATCCGTAATGACATTCGACGTTAGCCGATGTCCCAAATGTCGTATCAGTTTCATTATTTAGAGTTACCCAGCTATTGCTGATGTTAAATTCAGAGCCACAATCTGGAAATTAGTAAATAAAATCTCATTACAACAAGAAAACATATATATATTTGAAAAGGAAACAGCTGTGTTTGCTGCATAAAAATATTATACTTTCATTGATATATATGACGTGCACATATCGTAGTAGGAACTAGAAATCTTTTAAGACACGTTTGGACCAAATTTATTTTCTGGTACAATGTAAAATGTACATAGTAATGCATAGGGTGTTTTGTTGTTGGTGTTTTTTATTTTGTTATTTCTTAGTTCAACTTACTATATGTAATAATTATATTATAGCTAATAAGTTTCGAAAACCTATGACTGATGTACTCTATTTCTTTAAAAGATAAAGTATTTAATGCGTCACTATGATCTAATGACTTCAAAATTTGTGACCTCGAAATCAATAAACATCATCTTAATCTAGCTATCTGTAGGACAAACGTTAAGTGGCCAATGGCTCAGTGAAATTAACCGTTGGCTTTTTACCTTAAAATCAACAGGGTCACATTCTGTTCATTACCTAATCTATTCATCATCTAAAAAAATGAAGGCAGAAGTGGTCTATTCTTATTGGTCGAGCAAATGGTCAATAACTCAATGGTATTGACTGTTAGCCTAATAATACCTGTGTGAAAATTAGTAAAGGTCACTACTTGTTATGTGGAACTACCTTAACAAATCTTACGACAACAGGCCAACGCATTATTTAGTTATTGGTAGGACAATATTCTAGTGATCAATGTCCCAGTGCCCTTTGGATTGACCTCAAATCGGGCGTGGTCATATCATGTCCAACCAGCACACCAAATGGTTTGATTGTAGGCCATATAGTCTATATTCATCGGTTGGGAATTTGCTTTCACAGTCGCAAAATCAAAAAAGTTCATTGATTTATTAGTCATGACATCTTACAATTCTAGGTGACAACGTCTTCATTTATATGTCGCAAAATTTTTTATCCTTTGACATCAAAAAATAACAAATTATTAACTAAAAATGATATTTCCCCAAACCAAATTTTAGGACTTTGAGCCAACGTGTTCTCTAGTTAAAGGTCCGCCAAGCATTTTATGGTCAGGGCAAAGAAGGTCATGTTCTTTGGCGGCTCTGATGTTTTATTTTTCTATCTCAAAATCAAAAGAGGTCGTCTACTTGTCATGACAAATTTTCAACTGTAGGCCAAAAATCTCAAAATAAAAAGGATAATCTACCTATCATATCCAACATCGACATGAAATTTTATGAATGTGTGATAAATCTGTCTTTAGTTATTGGTCCGACAATTTTAATTGTTAAAAGTCATACTGACATTTACCTTTTACATTTTGAATTAAAATCAATACTATTATAAATCAAGATGTTTATTTGTTCTTTATAATATAAGAAGGAATAAAAGCAACTTTAAAAGATGCAATACATTTGAACACGATTTGAACTTGTAGTAATTGACTTTTATCTTACCTATGCCATGTCGTTTGATCTTTTTGGGGATCTTAAAATGAATTTGCAATGCTGTCAAGAAGTGACACGGCTATGGATTAAATATTTTATTTTTTTTTTAAATAAAGGTAAAAATATATTTTCTTCTATGTAATACATCAGAAAATTGAAGACCGTAAAGTACTGTAACATAATTCATAAAAGAGGATCGGACAAGGTTTTTATCGGGTCACAAATCATATTTGATAACAATGCGATTTACTACAGTAAATATTAGTAAGTATATTAAGAACTATATCTTACCGACTGGGTCGCAAGTTGGGACATCACTCCAATTACCATTAGATTGACATATTACTGCAAAAGGGTTGCTAACGTCGTATCCCTCGAAACAATCAACATAAATCTCTGTACCGTATGTTGTGTTGCTGCTACTTACACCTCCATTCAAGATAGATAACTCACCGCAGTCTGATATAAAATGGTATAAAAAAGATAACATTGTATATCAAAATACCTAATATCAGTATATTTTCTTACTCATGAAGAAAAAAGAAGATTTCAAATGATATTTATTTAAGACCATAAAACGATATCTAATGCAAACGTATGCTCATATGAGAACGTTTTATCATATAATCGGTTAAATATCAATCATGAACCACCATCAATGATGCAATTATTAAATTTTGGTACAAAATTTACTACAAATGCTTTTATGCTTTATCCTAAACAATGACTTAGCAATCTTCTCAAGCGTTTTACGGATTTGACCATCATGATTTTAAAAGGTCTGACTTTTTCAAACAAAAATGTGATTAATATCATTTTAGTTTTGACAGTCCATTTCTGATGTCAGATTTGATTAGATAATATCAATATCTCTTAGCTAAGAAATTGCTACAATTAAAATGTATAATAATTATCCAAGAATCCAATTGAGTATTATTAGAAAGCAATATAAAATGCAATTACTATGTATTTGACCACAAACATATATTTGTATATCAGATTATAAATTATCATAAGGTTGAATTTTTGTTTCATCACTAAATCAGCTTAGGATTATAATATGACATTACCAACAGGTTCACATGATATAATTTGACATTACTAACTGGTTCACATGATATAATATGACATTACCAACTGAATTATATAATATGACATTACCAACTGGTTCACATGATATAATATGACATTACCAACTGGTTCACATGATATAATATGACATTACCAACTGGTTCACATGATATAATATGACATTACCAACTTGTTCACATGATATAATATGACATTACAAAATGGTTCACATGATCTAATATGACATTACAAACTGGTTCATATAATATAATATGACATTACCAACTGGTTCACATGATATAATATGACATTACCAACTGGTTCGCATGATATAATATGACATTACCAACTGGTTCACATGATATAATATGACATTACCAACTTGTTCACATGATATAATATGACATAACAAAATGGTTCACATATATCCAGTATTACAATTAACCTTCACCACTGTACCGAAAGTTGTTACACTGTCATTTAAGATTCCATTTGTCACGGACAATTCCCCGCAGTCTAAACGATATGTAAAATTGGACAATTTAAAAAAAACAAATGAAATTGATCTCGTACTAAAAGACGTTTAACTAAGGAGAAATATATGTATATAAAAATCAAGATGTTTATTTGTTTTTTATTATATAAGGAGGAAAATTGTGCGAAACATTTGTACACGATCTGAAATTTATCTTACCTTTGCCATGTCGTTTCATGTTTGTGGGGATCTTAAAATGAATTTGCTGTTCTGAAAACCCTTTTGTTTAAAAATTTTATTTTATAATAAGGTGAAAAGAGGGCCATAAGCCCTGAATCCTCTTTATTGAATATTATTTTTTTTAAAAAGGTTTAATTTTTTCTTTTCTGGTCAGAAAATTGAAGACCGAAATACTTAACAAATTCATAAAAAGGATTTGGACAAAATTTATCGGGTCCAAAACATATTTTATAACAATGCGATTTCTACACGTAAATAATTATAAAATTAAAATTAAAACTATATCTTACCGACTGGGTCGCAAATTGGGGCATCACTCCAAAATTACCATTAGATTGACCCAAAATTTTGCAAAAGGGGTTGCTAACGTCGTATTTCCCCTCGAAACAATCAAATTTTAAATCCTTAACCGTTTTGTTTTTGTTGCTGCTACTTACACCCCTTCAAGATAGATAACCACCAGTTTATATAAAATGGTATAAAAAAAATTTTATAGCAAAAATTACCAAATTCAGTATATTTTCTTACTCATGAAGAAAAAAAGAAGATTTCAAATGATATCTATTTAAGACTATAAAACGATATCTTATGCAAACGTATGCTCATATGAGAACGTTTTATCATATAATCGGTTAAATGTCAATCATGAACCACCATCAATGATGCAATTATTAAATTTTGGTACAAAATTTAACAAATTTTTTGCTTTTATCCCAAACAATGACTTAATTTTTCTCAAAGCGTTTTTACGGATTTGAATTAGGCTTTTTTTAAAAGTTCTGACTTTTAAACAAAAAGGGATTAAATCATTTTTTTTTGAAGTCCCTTTCTGATGTCAGATTTATAGATGTATCAAATATCTTATTTAAAAAAATTTCTACAATTTAAATGTATAAAATTATCCAAGAAACCAATTGAGTATTATTAGAAAACAATATTTAAAAAAGCCCAATTTCTATTATTTGACCCAAAAAATTATTTTATATCAGATTATAAATTATCAAAGTTGAATTTTTTTCATCACTAAATCAGCTAGGATTATAAAACATTAAAAAGGTTCACATGATAAATATACTTACCAAAATGTTTTTCATGTTATATGACTTACCACTGTCATGAATATAATATGACATTACCCAACTGTTCAATATATAATTGCTTACCAACAAGTTCAATTTATAAAATGATATTACACTTTTTCAAAAGATATAAATTCAACCACTTGTTCACATATTAATATGATACCAACTTGTTCATGATAATATGACATTACAAAATGGTAAAAATGATTTTTTTACATTACATCTGGTTTTAATTATAATTTCATTACCCTGTTCAATTAAATATGACATTACCAACTGTTCCATAATTAATATGACATTACCCTGTCAATATTTTAAATGCATTACCCAATGTTCAATTTTATAATTTTAAAACATTTCCAATTAATTTATATAATAAACATCCCAAAAAATGTTCACATGATTAATATGACATTTCAACTGGTTCACATGTTTAATATGCATTTAAAATGGGTTTAATATTAATAGACAAAAATTGTTTACATGATATAAAATTTATTACCAAAATGTTCAAATAAATTAATTTTCCCAAAAGGTTCAGTGATATAATATACTAACCAAACTGGTTAAAATGATATAATATGGCATTCCAAACTGGTTTGCATGATTACTATAAAAAACAAACGTTCCATGATTAATATGACATTTCAACTGGTTCAAATAAAATTTAAAATTTTTACATTCCAAAATGGTTCAATGTAAAAATTTTGACATTACACTGGTTCCATGATTATATGAATTACCAACTGGTTCAAAAAGAATATAATTTTGACATTACAACTGTTCAAAATTTTAATATGACTTCAACTGGTTTATATGATATAATATGACATTACCAACTGGTTCACATGATAAATTTCCACTCCAAATACCGTCTGCATCACATACGATAGGTGTATTAGAGATGTTGATATATCCAGTATTGCAATTAACCTTCACCACTGTACCGAAGGTTGTTACACTGTCATTTAAGATTCCATTTGTCACGGACAATTCCCCGCAGTCTAAACGATGAGTAAAATTGGACAATTAAAAAACAAATTAAAAAGATTCGTACTTTGCGTTTAACTTAGGGAGATATTTAAGATGTTTTTTTGTTTTTTTTATTTAAGGAGGGGAAAAAAATTTTGGGGCGAACTTTGTCACCATCTGAATTTAAAAATTTACCCTTTCAATTGTTTTTCCTTTTTGGGGGTCTTAAAAAGAATTTGCTTCTGTCAAGAAGTGTCACGGTTTGATTGAAATATTTTTTTTAAATAAAGTGAACAAAGGGCATATGGCCCTGATCGCCCTTTGATTGAATATTATTTGTTTTAAAAAGGAAAAAAATTTTTTCCCCCTTTCTGTAAAAATAAAGACGAAAGTACTGTACATATCTAAAAAGGATGAAAAAGGGTTTTTTTGGGGTTTCAAAAATCATATGATAACAATGCGATTTACTACATAAATTTTAGAAAAGTTATATTAAAAACAATTCTTACCGACGGGCACAATTTGGGGACATTACCCCAATTACCATTAGATTGACATTTTACGCAAAAGGGTTCAAAACGTCGTTCCCTCGAAACAATCAACATAAACTCTGTCCCGATTTGTTTTGCTGCTATTACACCTCCATTCAAGATGATAACTCCCCGCGTCTGATAAAAAATTTTGGTAAAAAAGATAACATGTATACAAAATACCAATACAGTATTTTTTTTACTCAGAAGAAAAAAAAAAATTTCAAATGATTTTTTTTTAAGAATAAAACGATATCTATCCCAAACGTTGCTCAATGAGAACGTTTTATCATATAATGGGTAAATTCAATCTGAACCACCCAAAATTTACAATTATTAAATTTTGGAAAAAATTAACACAAATGCGTTATGCTTTACCCAAAACAATGACTTAGAAATCTTCTAAAGGCTTTTTCGGTTTTGACATTTTGTTTTTAAAAGGGTTTTATTTTTTCAAAAAAAAAGTGGATAATATCTTTTTTATTTTGACAGTCATTTCTATGTAATTTTTTAGATATATCAATATACTTATTTAAGAATTGCTAAAATTTAAATGTATAATAATTATCCAAGAATCCAATTGATTATTATAAGAAAGCAATATAAAATGCAATTACTATGTATTTGACCACAAACATGTATTTGTATATCAGATTATAAATTATCATAAGGTTGAATTTTGTTTCATCACTAAATCAGCTTAGGATTATAATATGACATTAACAATTGGTTCACATGATATAATATGACATTACCAACTGGTTCACATGATAAAATATGACATTACAAACTTGTTCACATGATATAATATGACATTTTCAACTGGTTCAAATGATTAAAAAAACATAAAACCAAAAAGGTTCATGATATTTCAATACCCAAATGGTTAATGATAAATATGACATACCAATGTTCACTGATATAAAGACATTAAACCCAAATGTCAATGATAATAATCTTACCAACATGATAATATTTACATTATGGTTCACAATTTTATGATATGCCCTTTAAAAACTTGTTTTTAATATTAAATGGGAAAATTTTCAACTGGTTCAATGAATAATAGACATTAAACCCAAATGGGTTCCATATATGATATGACATTACCAATTTTGGGTTTCCCTATATAATTGACATTCAAAATGGTTTCTTTGATATAATATGACTTTAAAAAACTGTTCAAGATATAAATGATCCAACTAGTTCATATGATATAATATGACATTACCAACTGGTTCACATGATAAATTTCCACTCCAATTACCGTCTGCTTCACATACTAGAGGTGTATTAGAGGAGTTGATATATCCAGTATTACAATTTACCTTCACCACTGTACCGAAAGTTGTTACACTGTCATTTAAGATTCCATTTGTCACGGACAATTCCCCGCAGTCTAAACGATATGTAAAATTGGACAATTTAAAAAAAAACAAATAAAATTGATTTCGTTCTAAAAGACGTTAAACTAAGGAATAATATATGTTTATACATAAAAATCAAGATTTTTATTTGTTCTTTATAATATAAAGAGGAATAAAGGTGCGAAACATTTGTACACGATCTGAATTTATTTTATTTAGGGCTTTCGTTTCCTGTGTGGGGATTTTAAAAATATTTGCTGTTCTGTGAGGGTCAGGGGCTTTTATTGAATTTTTTTTTATAAAAAAAGTAACAAAGGGCAATAATGACCCTGAACGCCTTATTGTTTGAATTTTAAAATTTTTTAAATAAGGTAAAAATATTTTTTTTCTGTTTTTTCTCCCGTCAAAAATAAAAATTAAAGACCCCCAAAAGTTACTGTAACAAAATTTCAAAAAGAGGATGGGAAAAAGTTATATCGGGAACAAAATTCATTTTGGGATAAAAATGCGATTTACTACAGTAAATTTTTAGTAAGTATATTTAAGCCCCCAAATTATCTTACCGACTGGGGTTCCCCAAAGTTGGGCATCACCCCAATTAACCCTTTAGATTAAACATATTACTGAAAAAAGGGTTCAAACGTCGTATCCCTCGAAAATCAAATAAAACCCTCTGTACCGTTTGTGTTTTGCTGCTATTTTACACCTCCTTTTCCCAAAAAGAAAAATCCCCCAAAAGGTCTTGATAAAAAAGGGTTTATAAAAAGAAAAATTTTTATATCCAAAATAAATATCAGAAATTTTTTCTTATAAATTAAGAAAAAAAAAAGTTTAAAATGATTTTTTTTAAGCCCTTTTAAAACGATTCTTATGGGAAACCCCTTGCTAAAATGAAGAATGTTTTATCTATAAATCGGTTAAAATATCAATCACAATCACCATCAATGATCCCAATTAAAAATTTTAAAGGGACAAATTTACAAACAAATGCTTTTATATGTTTATTCCTAAACAAGGATTTTGGGAATTTTCTCAAGCGTTTTAGGATTTGGCCATCTTTGTTTTTAAAGGGGTCTAATTTTTTTAAAACAAAAATTTGGGTTAATTTTCTTTTTGGTTTTAAACAGTCCCATTTCTAATGTCGTTTTGATTAATAATAATCAATATTTCTTATATAAAAAATTTTAAAATTTAAAAAAATTTTAAAAATTTACCCCAAAAAACCCAAAATTAAAGTTTTTATAGGAAAGAAATTTAAAAAAGAAAATTTCCCAATGTATTTGACCCCCAAAATTTATATTTGTATATAAAGATTTTTTAAAATTTTTTCATAATGTTAAATTTTTTTTCATCATTTAAATCAGTTTTGGGAAATTTAAAATATAACTTTAAACCACTGGGTTCAAAGTTTAAAATATGACATTCCCAAACGGGGATTTCATGAAAAAATAAAAATTTGACTTGTTTTCATTGAAAAATTTAGGGACATAACAAACCGTTTTCGAATGATAAATAGGGATATTCCAATGGTTAAACATGATTTTACGGGGGCCCATTACCAATTTTGTTCCCATTAAAAGAATATGAAAAATTTAAAAAACTGGTTCTTTTTGTTTAAAATATGAAAAACCAACTGGTTATCTTTGAAAAAATATGACATTACCAACTTGTTCAATAAATATAATATGACTTACCAACTAGTTCAAAATTGATATATTTTTACTTTGGGTCCACTGTTCAATGATATAATTTTGATATTACTAACGGGTTTCAAAATGAAAATTTATAAAATTACCAATTTTTTTTAAATGATATATTTTGCCCTTTATTTAACGGGTTCACATTGTTTTAATAAGGGACTTTCCAAACGGGCTTAAAAAAATTTTTAAAAATGAAAATTACTAATGGTTCAGATGTTTTTAAAAATTTTGAAAATCCCCAACTGTTATAAATTTGATAAATATGACATTATCAACTTTGTTCACTTTGATATAAATATGACATTACCATTTTTTTTTAAATTTCAAACTCCTCACACTGATTACTTTTTTTGGAAGGAATTGAAATTCACTGCCTTCACGGGACGTCACATGATGAGGGAAAGTCCATGAGTAACGTCGAAAATTCCCAAATGAAATATCGACCTTTTACATAAAAAATCTAACGCCCATTTTTTCTTTTTTTCTTTTTTTTTTTAACGTTATGTCCCTACTTTCTGTTAATTTTTTTTTTAAAACTTTAAAAGCAAAACAGTTTTTACTTTTTAAAAAAAATGTAAAATTTGAAAAAAATTTTAAATATCGTCAAAAATCTTGACGAAAATGTTGTGATGGCAGAGATCTAATCCTGCTGTAAGGGGAGATCACTGCGTAGGAGATTGCTTTTTAATATGATATAATGTTACATTACCAACTTGTTCACATGATATTATATAACATTACAAAATGGTTCACATAATCTAATATGACATTAAAAACGGGCTCATATAATATAAAATGACATTACCAACTGCTTCACATGATAAAACATGAATTAGCAACTCATTTCATGATTTTAATAAGACTTTTCCCAATTTGGTTCTTTTTGTTTCATAGCCCCATTATTAACTTTTTTCACATGAAAAAGTATGACAAAAAAATGGTTCACTTTAAATTTATATAAAAAATCAAAAACCCAGGTTATATAAATTTTCTATGACATTAAAAAATTTATTACATGAAAATAATATGAAATAATCAAACGGGTTCCCAAAATACTTTTAATAGGGAACATTGCCACCTTTTAAACATGATATAATTTGACTTTAAACCAAACCAGTTCACATAAATATAATATGACTTTCCCAACTGGTTCACATAATATTATATGACTTTGGGCCTAACTAGTTCTTATATCAAAAAAGACATTCCCAACGGGTTTCCCACTTTTATATAATATGACATTAAAAAAACTTTCATATGATAAATTAAATTCCCAGTTTTTTCACTTTGATATAATTTTGCATTACAAAATGGTTCACAGGCCTAATATGACATTTCGAACTTTTTCATATAATATAAAAGGGTTTTTTTAACCAACTGTTTTCACATGATTTTAACATGATTTTACAAAGGTTCAAGGGAATTAAATAGGGACTTTTAAAAAACAAAGTTCACATGAAAAAATTTGGCTTTTTCAAAACTGGTTCACATGTTTTTTTTGCCCATAAACAAACGGGTTCACATGAAAAACAAAGGGACTTTTCCCAAACTTGATTAAATATTTTATTATTATGGACATTCCCAAAACTGGTTAAAAATTTTTAATTTAACATTACCAACTGTTTCAAAATATAAATTAGACTTTCCCAGTTGTTCACTTTGATATAATAAAACATTAAAAAATTTGTTCACATGTTTCTAAATACATTAAAAAACGGGGGGGTTTCATAAAAATAAAAAACCAATCCCCAAAATTTGCTTCACATAAATAAAACATGTTTAAAAAATGACAAAAAAAGGGTTCACATGACCTTTTTAAAAACTAAAAAACCCGGGTTTTCATAAATTTATTTATAAATTTTACCAATGGTTCACTTTAATATAATATGACATTAAAAAACGGTTAAATTTAAAAAATTTATGACTTTTACCAACTGTTACATAAAAAAAATTTTTGGCTTTCTAAACGGGTTTTAAAGGGGGGAATTTTTTGCCCATAATTAACGGGTTTTCCCTTTGTTTAACATATGACTTTTCCCAAATTTGGGCATGATTATATTATATAAACCATTACCAACTGGTTAAAGGGATGATAAAATTATGCCCTTTCCCCAACTTTTTAAATATCAAAAATTTATGCCCCTTTTACCAGTTTGGGTTCACTTTGTTTAAAATAGACATTACAAAATTGTTCACTTTGTTTCAAATATGACATTAAAAAACTGGCTATATAAAAAAATTAAACAATCCCAATTTGTTTTACTTTGATATAACATGAAAAAAATACTTTTAAAAAAAGGGTTTTCACTGCCCTTAATAACATTACAAATGGGGTTTCAAAATTAATTTATTATGACATTACCCCCCGGGTTTCCACATAAATAAATATAAACTTTACAAATGGTTCACATGAAAAAATTGACTTTCCCTACGGGTTCACATGAAATAATTTTTAAACCTTCCCAAATGGTTCATATAATATAATATGACTTTTCCCAACTGGTTACTTTGATAAATTTCCCCACCCCAATTCCCGTCTGCTTCACTTTATAGGGGGTTATTAGAGGAGTTGTTAACCCAGTATTACAAAAAAACCCTTCACCACTGAAACCAAAAAGGGTTACCATGTCATTTAAGTTTCCCCATTTGTCACGGAAAATTTTCTCCGCATTTAAACAATTTTGTAAAATTGGAAAATTTTTTAAAAAAACAACAAATGAAATTGATATACTAAAAGGACGGTTTAAAATAAAAAGGGAAAAATGTATATAAAAAACAAAAATGTTTTTTTGTTCTCTGTTTAAAGTAAAAGGGCGAAAAATGTTTTCGAAACACAATTTTTAACACGATCCCGAAATTTATCTTACTTATTTCCCTGTCGTTTCATTTGTTGGGGGGGATTTTTAAAATGGAAATTTTTCACGGCTTTTTATTTAATATTATTTTATTTTAAAAAAAGGGTTTTTAAACCGGGGCACAAATCATATTTTTATAACAAACAATTTTCTCCCGTAAATATTAAATAAATTATTAAGAACCCTTTTTCTTACCGAAATTTGGGGGCCCAAATTTGGGACATCCTCCCCAAATTGCATTAGTTGAAACTATTTTCTGGGAAAAAGGTTTTTCTAACTCGTATCCCCCAAACAATTTAAAATAAATCTCTGTACCGTTGTTGTGTTGGCCCACTTACACCTTCCCTTCAAGAAAGAAAAAACTCACCGCAAATTTTGATATAAAATGGTATAAAAAAATAACATTTTATTTTCAAAAAAACCTAATATCGTTTTAAATTTTTTTAACTATGAAGAAAAAAAAAAGAAATTTTTAAAATGATTTTTTATTTAAGACCATAAAAAGAATTTAATGCAAACGTATGCTATATTAAA